CCCTATGAGTGAATCAATATTAATACCAAAATATGCAATCCTTAATGACTCGACAACAGTATCGTAACTATATCCTTTCCGAATAAGTCTGTTTAAAGGTTTGGTTAGCTTTTGAGGTGAATGCCGACATTTTTGTGCTTTGTAAAGAATATTACCATAAAATATTGGATGTGAAATACCTGAACATATAAGATGTCTGCATGTTGATTTATATTTACGAATGATGTCCTTGTACCGATGATAAAATTTAGTAAATGTTTTGACTAGTTTGTGATAAAAAAGTCTTCTTTAGTCATACAATATATAATTATATGTATCACGTCTAATCAGGCACTTTGCCATTTCGTAAAATTGACATATCTTAAATTTGTATTTGAAATAACTATATCACGTAATTTTTTTAGCTCACCTGGCCCACAGGGCCAAGTGAGCTTTTCTCATCACTTGGTGTCCGTCGTCCGTTATCCGTTAACTTTTACAAAAATCTTCTCCTCTGAAACTACTTGGCCAAATTTGACCAAACTTGGCCACAATCATCATTGGGGTATATAGTTTAAAAAATGTGTCCGGTGACCCGGCCAACCAACCAAGATGGCCGCCATGGCTAAAAATGGAACATAGGGGTAAAATGTAGATTTTGGCTTATATCTCTGAAACCAAAGCATTAAGAGCAAATCTGACATGGGGTAAAATTGTATATCAGGTCAAGATCTATCTGCCCTGAAATTTTCAGATGAATTTGAAAACCCGTTGTTGGGTTGCTGCCCCTGAATTGGTAATTTTAAGGAAATTTTGCCGTTTTTGGTTATTATCTTGAATATTATTATAGATAGAGATAAACTGTAAACAGCAATAATGTTCAGTAAAGTAAGATCTACAAATAAGTCAACTTGACCAAAATGGTCAGTTGACCCCTTAAGGAGTTATTGCCCTTTATAGTCAATTTTTTACAATTTTTATAAATTTTGTAAATTTTTGTAAATTTTTACAAAATATTTTCCACTGTAACTTCTGGGCCAAGTTCATTATAGATAGAGATAATTGTAAGCAGCAAGAATGTTCAGTAAAGTAAGATCTACAAACACATCAGCATCACCAAAACACAATTTTGTCATGAATCCATCTGTGTCCTTTGTTTAATATGCACATAGACCAAGGTGAGCGACACAGGCTCTTTAGAGCCTCTAGTTTAAATTTTTTTTCACTGAGCTAGGTCTCAGTATAGAATCATGTTTCTTTAAAAAAAATTAAGCATGCAAAATCTCTTTTCCCAAATTAACCAAATAAAACAAAGAAGACCTGAAAATCTTATTTTTTTTTCACGAATGAAAGAAGAATTTCTGACACACAGCTTGGTGTAAAAAAAATCAGTATAATTTAACTTGTGGAATTCACTGGCATACCAAGAGTAGATTTAACCAGTTCCCGAACAAGCAATGTGTCAATTTTATTTGTTACCTCCCCTGTGTCGTAGGAGTTAATTTATGAACATCAAAAACAAAAAAACATTTTATATAGTCTGCATGTGACCCGATGATTGGGAAATCGTTCCATCTGAAAGAGGCTGTAGCCTGAAAATAAACAATCTGAAAGACAGCGTTTCCTGTGATTTTTTGCAACTGACATTTATGTCTAGATTAAATTAATTTTGAGGTATGGAACAGTATAATGAAAGGAAAGTCAATAAATGATTTGAAAACTGGTTTAATTTAAATGTTTTGAATAGTTTCATACAAAAGAAATGCATTTTCAAGTTCAATCGTTTACAGTGTTGTGTTTGTGGTACAGTTTACAACCTTGAATAAAAACTTCCATAATGACATGCATTACATTTTTATCAAGTAAAATAGCTCTAGTATTCCGTGAGATACAAGAGAGAACACTACATACCACCCAATTGAAGCATCATACATCCGCATCTCGTGTCTCCTACTTCTTCGTCAACAAAAATCTGAAAGCAAGCGTGACCATCGATTAAATTGGAAAGCAATCGTTCTGAATATACACCGTGAATAAGTTTTTATCACAATATGCTATTGAATAGTTATACTACGTATATTATAAATAAAATAAATTTGAACCCTTAAACTGTACAGGGTTAATAATCACAAGTTCCATTGTTTAATGATAGTGTTTACATTTTGATATAACTGTGATAAATGAATTTAAATACATTGTAGAAAACAAATATTTTGTCTTTGTTGGTTTAAAAATTATGTTGGCTTTTCCTGGTGAGACATAAAAATATTTGGAGCTTGAAGGAGAGTTTTAAAAAAAAAAAGGATAGAGGTTCAATGTACATAGATTAAATGAATTCATCAGAAACTTATATTTTAAGAAGGTCCATCCATACCTGTCAACCTCTGAAAATGAAAATGCATGATCTGCATTAAGGAAGACAATGTCTTTTCTGTTAAATTTTAGTATTAAGAGTTTTTATACGACCGCAAAAAATTTGCCTTCGTATATTGCTATCATGTCATCGTCGTCCGACGACGACATTTAGTTTCCGGACAATAACTTTAGTATAAGTGAATGGATCTCTATGAAATTTTACCAGAAGGTTCAATAGCACAAAAGGAAGTTGGGATTGATTTTGGGGGTTATAATCTCAACTTTTTAGGAATTAGGGTCCAAAAAGGGGCAAAAAAAGGCTGTTTTCATGTTTACGGACAATAACTTGTGTATAAGTGTATGGATCTCTATGAAATTGTACCACAAGGTTCCATAACACAAAGGGAAGGTTGGGATTGACTTTGGGGGTTATGGCCCAAACTGTTCAGGAATTAGGGGCCAAAAAAAGGGGAAAAACAGGAATAAGGGGCAAAAAGGGGGGGGGGGGGATGGGAGGAACAAGGTTTTTCTGGTTTCTGGACAAATACTTAAGTATTAGTCAATGGATTTCTATGAAATTGTACCACAAGGCTCCATACCACACACAGAAGGTTAGGGTTGATTTTGTGGGTTGTGGCTTTAATCGCTAAGAAACTAGAGGCCAAATAGGGGCCAATAACAAAACTTTTCTAATACTGGCTAAGCTGGTTCTAACATAAATTATTTCTGATCTATATACAGAAACAACAAATACTGATATGGCAGGAGATACACACCAAACAGGGTGTGCAAATTATTATATTTAGTTTGTTAACAGATTTACTAAGTATTGCGCAACAGCAAAGTATTCCACAACAGCAAGAAATCCTCAATTGAAAATAAATACAAATCTTTTAACCAATTTCCATGAGGATTAATTTAAAGTCTTGAATTGTTTGAGGTTTTTACCATGTATTACTGTATTGAATATTTGGACATTTTTAAATAGGTCTACATTGAGGTTCAAAGGGTCCAAAATTAGATTTTGTTTGATTTCATCAAAAACTGAATTCTTGAGGTTCTATGATATGCTGAATCTAACTGTGCATTCAGATTTTTAATTTTGTTCCCTGTTTTCGAATTAGTCCATATTAAGGTCCAAAGGGTCCAAAATTAAACTTTGTGTGAATTCATGGGGTTTTTTTTATATGCTGAATCCACCATGGAATTAGATTTTGGATATTGGACCATTAAGTAGATTAAATGTCCCATTTCAAATTTTTAAGTTATCTGACCACATTTATTCTGTGTCAGAAATCTATAATGTGTCAGATATTTAATCACTATCCAAATTCAGAGCTGTATCAAACTTGCCCCAACTGTTCAGAGTTCGACCTCTACGGTCGTATCCAGCTGCTACAGGTGGAGCACATTTTTTTTTTAATAATATATACTATAACAGATACAAGTTTTCTACATATATTCACTATTGTATTTGCTAATTGTATAAATTTTTATTATTACCTAAATATCTTTCTAAAGCAATGCCCTCTAATTGTTTTATTCACACTACTTTTAAAAATGAATTTCATAAACCTCCGCTATAAGTAGAAATCAGTTATGGCTAATGTGCTCCTTTACACAGGAGGAAGATAAGAGAAAGAAGAAGTAAGTGTGTTTGCTTCCAGTGCAATATCTAGAACATAATGTCACATGGATTTGATTTAAAGCTTTTACATTTGAGTGATAACAAAATTGAATGGTTTAAAATAGTTTATAAGGGACTTGTATCTCTCCCAACAGAAATGTATTTAGTTGAGAGGTTCAAATTGTTTTAAAAGGATTTTTAAAGGATAACTTTGCAAAGTTGAACTGTCAAAAAATCTAAAATCAGGACATAGAATTGCATGTCAAGCTTGACTGGCTTCAACTTTCTGGCGTACAATTAACGGGATAGTTAGCAAATTGTTACTTTTCAAATAAAGGAGTGTCAAAACATGTTTTGATATAGCTGTATTCATCCAATTAAGAGAAAAGTAAATAACCAAATCCTAAGTTTTGACCTTTCAATTGTTTCCTTTTTCAAAGGAAAAAGCTGATAAAACAGAATGTATATATTTCACTTCTAAATACCGGAAACAATACCGGTCAGAAAACGGGTTATTATTGAATTCCGAGTTATTTGATCACCTGTCGGGTATTTTTAAAAATCCACGGTGGGAGGGGAAATTCATGGGTGTGACCCGCAAAATACAGATCAGTTGACAGATTACGAGGGTCAGTGTTTTTATCTTTATCTTCTCTTGGTGGCAGTTTCTGGATGTTCTCAATCAATGAACAAAAGGGTACCTTACTTACAGCAGATTGAGACCTTAAGACAAAGAGAATATGTGGACATACTGTAAATTCGGAAATTATTGTGATATTTTTATTTATGTGCAAAATGTGACAGTTTTCAAGTTTACCATAATAAAAACTTGCATTCATAATTTCAGTAATGATTTTCCTAATCCTTCATAAAATATTTGCAATCGCATTAACTAGATTTCACATTTTTTGCCAGAGACAAAGGACTGTACATGTTATCCAAATGACTACAATCATGCAGACAGAGCATTATCAAAATGTGTGCCATCCAAATTTAGTTTAGTTTTTATAACATTTGTTGATCACCTTTTATTTTTCAGTCTCCAGATAAGATAACACCTGATCCAGAGTGTGGTAAAACTAAAGGATGTTTCCCAACATGTTCTGGTACATCATGTTCATCACTGGTCACATGGCAAAAAAATGGAGATTATATCCTATTCAAGATAGCAGAAGAAATCTCATTGACCACAGAAAATAGATGGATAGCTATAGGATTTTCTGGAGATCAAGAAATGGTATTGTGCCCTTCACTTTTGAAAGGCTTTTTGCAAGATATTTTAATCTCAGTGATTTAAAATATAAAATACGGGCATAGTACACAGATTTTTTTGTTTGTCCTGTATGTTAAGAGAACCTTTTATGAGTAAAATGTAAATTTATAAATATAAAGAACCTTCTTCAATTTCTTTGTTTATGTCCTAACCTTTAATGTATATGATGGCTTGTTCCAAATTTGAGACATTTTCACATAAGTGGTTCCCTTTTCAATGTACATGCAAGATCAAATTTTCCTTGTTTTATCAAATCCTGGAGAACCCTTTGTGATAGGGTACCAGAGAAAAAATCACAATTTTCATTCAATGCAATTCTCTTGAAAATCAGTTCTTTGCAAACAATCTACATTAAGGATGTATTTTTCTGACGTTTCAGTCTCGTTGAAATCTTGTTCTGAATTTATTACCAGAGTGGAAAATATCAATGAATTCAAAAAATATTATAATCAAACTTAACTGTGTGAAAAAATTGTGTATTTACAATAAGCAGTTTTTGAGTAATAAAATTTTCAAATTTTATTACCCATAAAGTCAGTCTCATTAGCAAAAATGTTGAGAAAATTGGTATGGGGTACAAGAAATGATTTTACCAGAAACATGTACATCCCATATCAATTTTTTTCTTTTCAAATTTCTTAGATCTGTATTTTTTCAATCATTTATAACAAAGAAGTTGAAATAATATGGTTTTTGTTCCAAAAAAAAGAGAAAAATCCCAAATTAACAAAATTGACAGCAGGCCCGAGAACACAGTTATTTCGTAGTGCATTTCTTTTAGACAATAAAGTCAAATTAAAAAAATCACACCTGCTCTATCTCAAAAAGATTTTACAGTGTAGTGTACTACTATTGGGACAAATAATATCAAAATTATAGAAAAGTCTACCAGCTCTAACTCAAAATATTGACAACTCTATGTTAAGGGGGTCTAAAATTCAGTTTGACAGCTTCAGACATACTAGTTTTTGACCTTTTTTAACTGTACCAAATCACTACTTAAGATAAAGATTCAGCAACCAAATTTTTTTAACATGTAATTTCATCCCCTTACTTAATATTTCATGCATAAAATATAAAGAAATAAATTTGGAATGTGTATGAAAAAAATTTGCAAGTTATACACTGTCCACACTAGGGACTATATTTGTAGACAACGAAAATCTAAGGACGATAACTGTGTCCTCGGACCAGCATGGTAAATTTGACACGAAAAAGCAACAAAATTTTATAAAACTTTCTTATATTAACACATACCTATAGTTTTTTTAAGTTAAATTTATTCAGATTGGTCCAATTCATCTTTATTGAAAGTATGAAAAAAAGTTTAATTGTAAAACTGTGATTTTTTTCATGATAATAGCCCAAAAATAGGTAAAAATTGATGAAAAATGGGAAAATCATCAGAATTGGGTACTTTCAAATGGCTGCAGCAAAAAAAGAAGTGCACCACCCTATGATTTTTTCTTCACCAATTATTTTATTTCATATAAACCCAAAATCAGGTTAAGAAAATTTTTGGCTCCTCAGAGGTTTACATCCTTAAAATGGAAATAAAAATCAAAGAGTTGCTGCTGTCAATTAGGATTTGACAGTCGCAAATATCCATTTTACTGGCTTCCCTATGTATCGCCAGTAAAACTGCATTTGCGACTGTCAAATCCCCAGTTGACGTCGACAACACTTCATACTTTTCATTAATTCACAAATTATAATTGTGTTATTCACTTTGATGTCCATTAGTAATATTGATGCATTTAGACATCACAAGAAATTTAAGAATCATTAAGATTTGATTTACTCATTCATAAATTATTTCAGACAGAAAAAACACATTTCACCCCAATATGTTCTACCTAAGATTTAAAAGACAGTTACTCTTGGAAAAATATTATTTGAACCATGCAAAATTAAACATGTTTATGAAGCAATTATTTGAATAAGCTAATTGTGTACTGTAGGTGAATTTGTGCATTGTCAAATTTCCATATCCATGCTTTGCTACAAAAACCTTATAAAAAGTCATGGTACATGTAGGTGCATTACTAATGCTTGATCTGATTTCCTTGACCGTCCTTCTGTCCGTCCCATTTTTGTTTCTGCACTCTAACTTAAGTTTGCCTCATGCAAATTTTATGAAACTCATACACAATGCTAAGAACCAAAACTAGCAAAAAAGACAAGGAGGAATTGTCAAAAATATTGTACAATGCAAGAGACCACACCAGCCACCAACACCATACTCCTCTGAAAAATAGACAAACAAATAAACACATTTTAAACCAGTTTTAGGTATGCACAAACCTCCTACTTGGCCAATCTAGACCATATGCAAATCCATAAAAAATCAGTGTCATGAAGAATTAAAATAAGAGGTTCATAGCTACAAGTGGTATCTGGTATGGTATAATCCTGTCATGAAAATTTAAACATTATTACTGCTTTCTGATGCAGTATATCAAACTTTGATTTAAGGTCCTATAATGACATCAGAAATGGAAGGTTGTTTGATTATTATCTAAGCGTTTTTCTAGAAAAAAATTGTTCTTCATTACTAGAAAAAAAATTGAATTTTTATGGGTTTTCATGGCCATTATTGACTCTGTAAATATCAGCCTGAACATTTTGTTTTTTTTTTCATTTACAGGGAAAAACTAGTGTAATTATGTGTGAACACAAAACCAGCGGTGATTCCTTTGTTATGGGATATAATGATGGCTATTCTTTTAATACCTTGTCTGCAGTAAGTAAACTTAACAATAAAGGTGTAGTTTCTTTGAGAAAGGTATGATCTTCTCATAGTTAACTGACTATTTCCTTGTTTAATAACACTGCAAAAGCATCATATTTCAGCAAGGCCATTAAGAATGTTTGTTTTGAAAGCTATATATATTTTTTTTTAAATTGATGCTAAATTTTGTTTGGTCATATGCAGGAGTCCAAAAGCAAGATATGTTTACCTTAAAACCATGTTTATTATGTCAGCCTTATTAAGTATTGTTTATGATGAGGGTAGTTCATTCCAAAAATGGATTTAAAGACCCGATATTATTTTTACTTTTCTTATTCAGCACTAATATTGATGCTACCATTACAGGAACTGAAAGTTATTAAGAAATTGAAAAAGTATGAAAGTTCCAGTTAGTTGCGAATTGCTACCAAGCTAAAGTGAATTAATAAACTTATAATCTCTTCTACCTACTAACTTCTATTACGATGAACAATGGCTGTCTCCACTACCACATGCAACACAAACAGAAAAAGAGTATGGATTGATAAGTTCCTAATCAGGGCTTCCAAAAAATATTTTAGCCAGCCAGACATTTTTTTTGTCTTATCCTGATTTTAATCCCTTAAGATTTAGTAACAAAAGGCAATCATAGTAATCAGTTGGGCATCATATGATATAAATTATGATTGTCACAAAAACGATATTTAACTTGATTTTTTATATAAGTTCGATGTTCTGGCGTTAACTGTTAAATTGACAGTGCACCATTCGAAGTGTTCAGCATCAGCGTACAAATATCTGCCTTAGACTCTTTATTTGTGCAAAATTACGCTGTCAATAACTTCACTGTCATTTTTAAAAAGTACATTTTCCTAATACCGGATGTTGACTTGACAATGGTAAAACACAGACCAGAGACGGATACATAAAATCTGTGCACGTTTACAAAGCACAATTGAGTGTAAGTAGCTCTTTCCGCAATATTTCTTCAGGAAAATACTCGAAATGAATGTTAGATAAAGGTATCAATGAAATTTTTAGCTTTTTTGAAAATTTGGATGCAAAATTAAATCTCACACCTGCGCACATGTACACGAGTATACTAGTTCAAACAACGTGGTTCTGACGATTTTTCACTTAAAACCTTTATTACTACCTTTTGATATTTTCATCAAATCATATTTATTTACATTTTCTGATAATCTAAATCTTGTTGACTAAATTAGTTAGATGCAAACCGCTGAAATTTAAGAAAATAACTTTCAATAGACCAATCAATGTCTGATACAAAATAGTTTACCTGTCGCCTGAACAGGTAAATTTCAACTGTCAGAGAACTAATTTAAACCTTGATTTTAATGAGAGGGTATTGAAGTAGGGTTTGTTTTGATAGTAATTATTCATCATGTCACTTATATGACGTGACAAACTTCAATTTTTTTTTTCTGAGCTATGTTAAAATGTTCGTTTCAGCATTGACACAACAAGTCATTTATATAATTTACCAGACAAGTCCGAAAATACGACTGTATTGGAAGCCCTGGTCCTAATATGGCTCCTATTTCTAGCTTAAATTTCAATAGAGAGGCGAAAGATACCAAAGGGACATTCAAAGTCATAAGTCGAAAATAAACTGACAACGCCATGACGAATAAAGAAAAAGACCAACGGACAAACAACAGTACACAAAACACAACATAGAAAACTAAAGACTGAGCAAATTAGGAATTTTAAATTGCCATCATCAAAAAGGAGCATTGTTAAAACAAGGGCTAAATAGGAAATAGGAATTTCTTTAAAGTTTGTATATCTTGTGTTCCTTTTATGACATCAATATGAACGTTGTTTTAATTGCCAACTATTATTGGGCTATTTGGGATGTAAATGTTAAGCCTTTGCAGAAGAATTGACAAAAAAAATGTTTAGTTTCACTTTCTCTTATATAGATATAAGAAGATGTGGTATGAGTGCCAATGAGACAACTCTCAATCCAAGTCACAATTTGTAAAAGTAAACCATTATAGGTCAAAGTACGGCCTTCAACACAGCGCCTTGGCTCACACCGAACAGCAAGGTATAAAGGGCCCCAAAAATGACTAGTGTAAAACCATTCAAACAGGGCAACTAAGGTCTATTCATAAACTAGATATACTATTCAAATTGTGGTCTATATATTGAGACCCTTTCAATGCCTACCCCTGTGATAAAATATTTTGAAATATCTTTCAGGGAAATGATACATTTATGATTTTCATTACAAAATATGGTTGACAATCTCTGCAACCATCAAAGAAGACCTTCACTCAAACAGGAAAATTAAACAAAAAATATTATAAAACAAAAATTTTGTAAAAGAAGTTATGCTTGCCAAAAAATAAAAGAAATAACAAGAATTTGATAATATTTTGAAAATGTATGTAGAATGCATTTTTTTAAAGTATTGAGAAATTAAGATGTGCTGGGCAAAAATTTTAAACATTGTCTAAAAAAAACCCAAAGTGGTAACAGAATAAAAGAAAGTTGAAAATGAAAGATGTAAAGTATAGTTGAATGAAGTTGTTTTTTACTTTAACTGCAATGCCCAGTTTGAATTCAAATTTTGCACATATCAAGTTGATGTTCAAGAGTTCGTCCTATAGATAAGGATGAGAATAACTATATCTGAAGTTTCAGCAATGGTAAATCACTTTACACATTATTTTGCTTGAAACAGTTATGTAAGGGACATTTTCTGAACCATTATAAATGTGATTTTTAGCTAATTCTTTTTTTGGAGTTATGCGAAATATGTTGCTAAATTATAAACTGAAAAGTAATTTGAAGATAAATATAAATCAACATTAGATGAAAAATAAACATTCTATTTACCATGTGAATAGATTTTTTTTGGCATTTTGTCTGTATATAACATTTTCCACAAATCTGTTCCATCAACTACATCATTTGATATTTAACCCACTGCTAGGATCCACTACACATAGGTTTATAAGTGCTGACACATTTCACTTTCGTTGGTCAAGAAATATGCTTTTGAGAATTCTGAATAATGTTGAAACGAGCCAATTGCTTTTCACTTTGTAAAAAGTTTTGGTCAAACATCAGATTTAATCCAAAAAACTTTCTTTATGTCGCAATGTTTAAAAATTGATTGGTGAAGAGCTGAGCAAAACAAACTATATAAATTCTTTTATATTAATAATTGACTTGATTTATTATTTCATAAGATTTTGTGAATTGGTCAGATCAAAATGACACTTTCTGTCAAACTTTGTTATATGAATTTAAATTTGTAATAATTGATACATTTGGGAATCATATGCATTATCTATTTTTTGTTAGAATGGGATATCTTCAGTGATAAAGGATGCATCATTAACAGTGACGGGAAATGTCATGAGATGTAGTCTACAACGAGCAATTAATTCAACAGATCCCAAAGTTTATGACTTAAATAGTCAGTGGTATGTTCTGATGGGTAATGGACCAATTACAAGTGGTAAGCTTAGATTTTGACTGTTATCTTTATACAAAGTAAAACTCTTGACAGAAACAGTATTTTAAAGAATTGCAAATTGCACATTCAAAAATTGACTGATAAGAATTTTTTTTTAAAGATATTATAAACAAGACCCTTTCAGTAATCAGCTAAGGTTATGTGCTCTGGACATTTTGGTCACATATATATATATTCAATGTGCCCAGCCTGATTTGTATGTTTCAGTTTTCCTGTTAATGTTCAAGGGCTTAATTTAGTGACTGTGCAGCTTTCACAATATTAACAGAAGAGGAATTTTTGTGTACGCCAATTATATCATTATTAGTCTTCTGTTTTTAAACCTCTTAAGTATAAATACAGTGAAATCTTTGTCCCATGAACTCCTTTGTAATTTAAAACTTGCCTGCATGGGTAAAACAGATTGAAATAATGTAAAATTTTCAGAATGAGTTCACACAAAAAATTTTGTTCAAGAAGGGAGTTCATTTAAACTTGCCATCTCCAATTTAGAATGAAAAAAAATAGATGTGACTTTAATATAATGAGACAAACACAAATATAAACATCTACGTTTACAGATAACATTAGTCAAACACTCAAAATGAACATTTACAAGTATCTTGGCCTAAGGTGGGATAAATCATACTTTATAAAAAATCACTCTGATTCAAACAAAAAATTCTCTTAAACTGACATTACCAAGATGCTTGATTTCTTGATTGACAACATATTTGTTATTTTTATGCCCCACCTAGGGGCATTATGTTTTTCGGTCTGCGTGTCCGTTCGATCGTCCGTTCGTCCCTCCGTCTGTCCCGCTTCAGGTTAAATTTTTGGTCAAGTTAGTTTTTGATGAAGTTGGAGTCCAATCAACTTGAAACTTAGTACACATATTCCCTATGATATGATCTTTCTAATTTTAATGCCAAATAAGAGTTTTGATCCCAATTTCACGGTCCACTGAACATAGAAAATGAAATTGCGAGTGGGGCATCCGTGTACTATGGACACATTCTTGTTGGAGGACATGTTTTTCAACATTCCATGGGAACCAACTGTTGCTCCTCTTCTTGCTGACTTGTACCTTTATTCATATGAAGCTGACTTCATACAGGAGCTTCTTATGAAGAATAAGAAGGAGCAAGCATTATCCTTTACCTTCACGTTCCACTATTAAGATAATATCCTTTCACTAGATAATTCAAAGTTTGATGACTATGTTTAACACATTAATCCCATCGAATATGAAATAAAGGATACAACAGATACAAATACATCTGCCTCATATCTTAACTTACATTTAGAAATTGACAATGAGGGTTGGTAGAGAACAAAACTGTACGAGACAATAAAGATGATTTCAGCTTCCCAATTGTGAACTTTTTATTTCTAAGTAGCAACATTACAGTAGTGCATGCGTATGCTGGTATGGAGTATATATTCCTGTTGATATGATATTCCAGAGCTTGCTTTTCCTATCATGAAAACCTTGACAGAGGGTTGCTGCCTACAAAGAAGCTATTAAACCAAGAGTTCCAAGTGATGAAGTTGAAATCATCCCTCAAAAATTTACAGATGCCATCACAAGTTAGTTGACCATTAAGGAATAATGACTGATTTGTTGTGATTGTCATAAACACTATTCTGTCCTCTTTTCCTCGAATGTAACCAACTGAATTAGACTTATCACCGGGTTTGTTTTTACACGAGCAACACAACAGGTGCCACATATGGAGCAGGATCTGCTTACCCCTTTCAGAGCACCTGAGATCACCCCTGGTTTTTGGTGTGGTTCGTGTTGCTCAGTCTTCTATGTTGTGTTTTGTGTGCTGTTGTTTGTTCTTTACTTATGAGTTTGAATATCCATTTGGTAATTTTCAACTCTCTTTTACAGACTACCTTATGGTAACACTCAAAATGAACATTTACAGACTACCATATGGTGTTCTGAAGGTCAAACACTCAAAATGAACATTTACAGACAACCATATGGTGTTCTGAAAGTCAAACACTCTAAATGAACATTTACAGACTACCATATGGTGTTCTGAAGGTCAAACACACAAAATGAACATTTACAGACTACCATATGGTGTTCTGAAGGTCAAGCACACAAAATGAACATTTACAGACTACCATATGGTGTTCTGAAGGTCAAACACTCAAAATGAACATTTACAGACTACCATATGGTGTTCTGAAGGTCAAGCACACAAAATGAACATTTACAGACTACCATATGGTGTTCTGAAGGTCAAACACTTAAAATGAACATTTACAGATTAACATATGGTGTTCTGAAGGTCAAACACTCTAAATGAACATTTACAGACTACCATATGGTGTTCTGAAGGTCAAACACTCAAAATGAACATTTACAGACTACCATATGGTGTTCTGAAGGTCAAACACTTGAAATGAACATTTACAGACTAACATATGGTGTTCTGAAGGTCAAACACTCTAAATGAACATTTACAGACTACCATATGGTGTTCTGATTGTCAAACACTCTAAATGAACATTTACAGACTACCAGTGTTTTGAAGGTCAAACACTCTAAATGAAAATTTACAGACTACCATATGGTGTTCTGAAGGTCAAGCACACAAAATGAACATTTATAGACTACCATATGGTGTTCTGAAGGTCAAGCACACAAAATGAACATTTACAGACTACCATATGGTGTTCTGAAGGTCAAAAACACTCAAAATGAACATTTACAGACTACCATATGGTGTTCTGAAGGTCAAGCACACAAAATGAACATTTACAGACTACCATATGGTGTTCTGAAGGTCAAACATTCTAAATGAACATTTACAGACTACCATATGGTGTTCTACACTGTCAACAGACTCAAACGTGGAAAATTAACATCAACAGATATTCATAGATCTTCTTAAGGTCTTCAAATGTACAAAACACAGAGAAATAAAATCTACAGATCATAAAACGGTCTTCAATAATGTCAAACACACAAAATTAATATCTTCAGATCACCATGTGCATAAAAATTTGCAGTATTTTGATATTTTGTCACTATTTATTCCTTTACACGGTATATATGATTTTGCCGGATTTTGGCGCCATCAGTTCTTTCACACCTGTGGTTTTCAACAGTGTCAAACAGCATTATGGATTGTCTGTTCCTAGTACACAAGGCACTCATATTATTTTATTTCAACTGTTTAGGATTCAGGAAATATAATGACATGGTGATTTCAGAAAAAAAACCAGTGAATAGTTATTTTTTGTAATGCCTTGTTTATGGTGTTTTTACAGGATAACTGTCATTGCACTTAATTATCAATGTAGGTACACCTGAAAGACACGAGCAACCACCAATAGTCACCTCTGCCAAAGTAAACGTTCAGGCATTCAGCAAAGTGGATGGAGGAATTCAGACATCAGCGGTTATAAAAGTTCATGGTAAAAAATATTAGTATGGATGCTGCCAGTCAGTTCTTTATTCTTCGCCAAATTTCATAACAGTCTTATAAATTGGTATACATTTAGTTTTACGCATATATTTTTATTGTTAAAATTTATTTGTTTTAAAATCCCTTGGAAAGAAGATATATTGGTTTTGATGAACATGAGACAACATTAACTATTCAATATCTGTTAAACAACCATACATCACAGAAACATCTGAATTGTTGTTATTTGTCTGATTATTACTTTATAAAGGTTCCCATTTTGATAAAATACTGTGGTAAACTTATTTACATTATGAATACTTTACACAAGTATGTTTTTCATTTTAAAAGTTGATTGTCTGGATGTATGTGATTTTGTTCATTTGACTTACATTTTACGAGATAGCATTTATATTAGGTTTAAACATAGTTATCTGCTAGAAGAAATCAAATGTGATGAGAAAAAAGTTATATATAATATTGTATACATGTAGTCCTTTCCAATTACAATCAAACCCGCTATAAATGTAACCTATCTTTAGAAAAAACTTATCAGGTCACCCTCTCCTTATCCCTTCATATAAACACCTATATATTTGGACCTCAAGTCAAAGGTCATTTAAGGTCATTTTTCTCTTTTCCGATAGATGACTGATTGTACTGGTATATTTACAGAAAACATAACACCTGATGACATTGCACAAACAAATACATTTCAAAGATTTTTAAAGAATAACTAATCCAAGAATTAAAATTTTGTAAAAATTCAACTCCTGACCAAACAACACATTAATTTTCACCGTTGTTTGGTCACAGATATTTGAATTCCTTGATTCATTATTGTTTGTAATACATTGACTATTATTGTAAATAAAAGTAAACAATGCAAGAAACTTCTTTCTTTGTTTTGATGCAATGTTATTGACAACATCTATTGTTGTATGTTGTCGGAGGAGTGAAATTACAAGATTTCTACCACATGTAAAATTATAAGTTTTATTCAACTGGCAAATCGATTAAACAACTAAATTGCAAAAATGATCATCAACACAACAGTATCTATAGTATGTGAATATAAAATTCCTAATTAACAAATAGGACAGGTGAGCGATACAGGCACAGGTATGTCTCTTGTAAACTGTGCTTTTATATATCAAACCTGAAAATAAAAAAAGACAAAAACGTTAGTTTCATTACTGCACATAACAGAAATTTTATTGACTAAACAAAGTGCTTACTAAAGAAATATAACACAAAACATGCCTCATCAATGTGTTTTGATTCTGGTACAAAAAGACACTTTTGATGATTTAATAAGCTTTAAAGTTTTAGCAGTTAGAGAATGTATTTCATTTCAAATTGAGAATTTTTGTTATAGTTCTTTATAAATATATATAAATATAACATTGCATTATGAATAAAAAGAGATCTAGGGTATACTTTAATGAGATAGTAACCCAATGGAAAATTTGAATAAAAGACATCTAGAGGATAACATATACTTTTATACTGGAGTGAAATATCCTGGTTAATCCTGCAATTTGATTGGTTACCTAAACCAGAGATATGACCCTATATCCAATGTGAAAGAAAACAAAAATAAAAATGGTAATTAGTGTTAAAATCATGACACTCCAGTATAATTTAATAGTTATTCAGGCTTCACAGAGATATGGGCCCATATTCCTTGTCAGTTTCCTATATCCCCTTCGTTTGGCAGCTCAGGAGATATAAAACACTTGCAGGGAATATGAGCCCATATCCATTGTGAAGACCCCGAATAACATATAGTCGTCATCTATTTTAACCTTTTTACAGGATGCCTGATGATAATAGCCTGGATATTATTCTCTAGTATTGGAATCATTCTTGCAAGATACTTTAAGAAGCATTGGTCAGATTCTACATGGATGAAGCAGAAAATTTGGTTTCAGGTAGGTTGTTAGTTCTAAATTTGAACAATGGTTGCAATACTTATACATGAGTGTTCTTTTGTCTTGAGTACTGACTGATAGAGCTATAACTGTATTTTAACACTCTGAAAATCAAATCCTTCCTTTTGCATTTAAATGGAAAGTTCATCACGAATACAATATTCCATAAAAAAAGAAAACCAGCAATTTTCAAATGTAAACATTACAAGAAACCACATCATCCACCAACACCTAAATCTTCCAAGAAAACATAGAGACCAGATTACCTGACTTGGTACATGGACAAAATGTGGTGGGTTTATACAAACTGACCCCCATTAAGGCATTAGTTTTTGGTCCATTTGAACTATGTGTGCAAATTTATGTTATAAGAAGTATAACCTTGTTTTCAGATAAAATAGGATGTTGCATTTAATGCTTCATTGAAAACCTTCCTTTTTATACGACCGCAAAAAATTTTTGCAGTCGTATATTGGTATGACGTTGGCGTCGTTGCCATCGTCGTCCTAAGACACGTTGGTTTTCGCACAATAACTTTAGTTTAAGTGAATGGATCTCTATGAAATTTTACCATAAGGTTCAATACCACAAAAGGGAGGTTGGGATTGATTTTGGGGGTTATGGTACCAACAGTTAAGGAATTAGGGGCCAAAAATAAGCATTTTTGTAACTTCCAGACAATAACTTGTGTTTAAGTGTATGGATCTCTCTGAAATTATACCACAAGTTTCCATACCACAAAGGGATGGTGAGAATTGGCTTTGGGGGGTTATGGCTCAAACTGTTTAGGAATTAGGGGCAAAAAAGGGGAAAAAACAAGGGTTTCCTGGTTAATGGACAATTTAAAATCAGTGTAAGGGAGGTAATCCAAAAACAAAATTGTACAATGTTGTACAATGTTGGATTACCTCCTTACACTGCTTTTAAATTATCTATTTAAGACTTTTATGATGTATTTATATTGGTAATTATGGTTGCAAACTCCATTGGAAATTTGAATTAAGATTATGACCATATCTTGAGGGAAAGGATTATTTTTTTGGAAAAGGGGGGGGGGGATGGAGGGGGTTAAAAAAGAAATTTGGGGGGCAATTTTTTGTTTCATTTCAGATTTCAGAAATTAAAATGAAAATTTCTTCAAATATTTTTCACAACAGCATAGTGTATTGCACAAAAGCACAAAAAATTGAATATAAATTCAAATCATATAACCAATTCTAAGTTCTTTGACTACTGTTATTCGGTGTCAGAAACCTATTATGTGTCAAATATTTAATTACAATCCAAATTTCAGACCTGTATCAAGCGCGAATACTGTGTCCATTTTCGCCCCAACTGTTCAGGGTTGGACCTCTGTGGTCGTATCCAGCTGCGCTCAGCGAAGCATTTTATTGATATTTGCCACATTTCCCATAGCTTGAGATACAACTCTTTATGGTTGCAATGTTCATTCATTTTTTTTGAGTCATCCAATCTGGCTCTTTAATAATACTATGGATTGCATGATGGGGTATAATTCTGAATAAAAGGCATATAATCGAACTATATGAGATGTGTAAATGACTTCCAGAAAATATTTAACACCATTTTAGTCATCAATCACCAATCTTTCACATGTTATTCACCCTTAAATGAAAAAAATAGATAGTTTTGAAGTAAAGCTGATTTATTCAATTTTGATAACATCACTTGCACATAGTTAAATTTCTATGTTGATATAACTTAAACAGTTGATAAATAATTATGAAAGGATTTTATAAGTATCTTTTGCTTGTGAGAGTAATTGAATAGAATGTTTATATCAACTCTTTTTTGTCCCCTGCGTAATGCGTTGTGGGGTACATGGAAATACCGGGCGTCCGTCCGTGTGTCCGTCCGTCCAGTCTTGTTAGTGCTCTTACAGGTACAGTTCTTGTTAGATTCTTTTAAAACTTATACTATAGGTTAATATCAGCAATATCTCAGACAAGTTCTATAATGGTGGCTGATCAACTTTTTTTAAAGAGTTATGCCCCTTGGAAATATTAAATTTATGGAAAGTGGCCTCGTAAGCGCTCTCACTGGTACAATTCTTGCCAGATTTTTATAAAACTTATACTATAGGTTAATATCAGCAATATCTCGGACAAGTTTTATAATGGTGGCCGATCGACTTTTTAAAAAAGAGTTATGCCCCTTGGAAAAATAAAATATGTGCAACACGGGGGACATCGGAACTCTGTTCTTTTATTTATATTAAGTATGTAGTCAGGTCAGGTTTATGAATTTTTGTCAGATGTTTGGACTCGTTAGGTTTTTCCTACAATACAGGGTAAAATATTTTGCCCCATATCACCCACTTTTCATAGAAGACTTCAATAGCTCATAAAATGGTCATTTCCAAAATTTAAGCAGAATCTAGATATTTTTTCTTACAATTTGATACCTAAATAATGCCAATGCTAAATATAAGGTAAAAGTCTCTGAGTCAGCCTTTTCCCACCATTTTTTAAAAATCAAATATCTCAAAAAGGAGCTCCATAACCTATCAATATTTTTAGCCCGTAAATGGTGATTTTGACATTAATAGGGTTTTTGCTAATTCACTTGAAAACTATTGATAGATAGGTATAAAGTGTGAACAGCAAAAATAATGAGCAAAACAAGAAAATGCAAAAAGCAAAAATGCCCTATGAATGAAACCATGAATTGACTTTTTATAGGAGATATTGCTCTTAAATGAGCATTTAAGCATTTCTACCTATTATCTTGAAAAGTAGAATAGATAGATAGCAACTGTAAACATAATCAGAAATACAATATCTAAATTGACTTCTTACAGGAGTAATTGCTCTTAAATGATATTTCCCTTTGAAACAATATATAGTAGAATTCCATGTAAGGTCTAGAGAAATGAATGTTGATGTATTGTTGCCATTTTGCAGGTCTAGAAATATCAGAATGGTTCCTTGTAAGGTTCTGGCTAAGTTCTGTTACTTTGATCCCATTTTGCAACCAATATTCTTGTGAGAACTTCTTGACCGTTTCATAACTAATATGGTTTATACCAGTATGTCCTGTGAGATCATAGACAAACATTTGTTTCTTTGGATAGCATAGTACCAGTGATATAGATATACCATCTATACCATCTAGGAGCAGACTTCTTATGCAGTTTAAAATTGAAAATAAAAGGATTTCCCAATGCATGTGATATGGTTGCTAAGTGATCATTACAAGCACATTTGAACTTTTATTTTGTAAGCATCAGTTGTCTCATGAAAGTTCATGGTATATTTCAGATTCACAGAACATGCATGGTATTGGCAGTACTACTGACCATAGGAGGCTTTATACTAATATTGGTACACACTAAAGGTTATAGAGAGGTATGATTTTGATTGGTCTAAGACTGTAGTACACCACTGTAAATCTAAAATGGTCTGTGTAAACATTTTTACTGGAATTTAAAACTTCTTATTGATGATTTAATTATATTTCATCCTATCAATAAATTTGGTTACCATTGCTAAAATAAAAAAGGGGTGTAATACAAGTAACAACTTGAAAACCATAATAGAAGTTCAGAATATCAATAAGATCTACCTACTCTCTATTTCTAACAAAACTTTTGGTAGATTCTTTGTAGGAGTTATTGCCCATAACTAAAGATTTCAAGCAATTTTCAGCTTTTTTGCCTAATAACTTGAAAACTATGATAGATACAGAAACTGTAAGCAGCAAATACTGTCATGAATACAAGATTTACAAGGCTGTTGAATAACTGAAGCCTTAAATCATCTCCAATTAGGGATTTTTGTCATCAAATAAAAATTTATTATGAATTTTAGCATTTTATGCCTCGCCTATGACAGAGGGCATTATGTTGTTTGGTCTGTGCGTCCCTCTATCCTCTCTTATGTTGGTAAGTTAATCGACCCTCTATCAGGTTAAAGTTCTTGGTAAAGGTAGTTTGATATGAAGGTGTGGTCATATCAACTTAAACCTAATACATATGTTCATTGTGATGTGAACCTTTTCAACTTATGCTAAATTACTGTTCTGACCCCGCTATCACTATACAAAGAAATGAGATAGTGGGAAATTAATGCAGTCTCAGGTTGAAGTCTGCTTAAGGTAGTTTGTCATGTTGATTTGGTCAAAACCACTAGAAGCACATGGTCATTGTGTAGTGAAATTTAAAAAGATATATTACAAATTACAATTGTATCTCCATTTCACAGTTGACTGAACCTGGATTTAGGATACTGTGAGTGGGGATTATTCTCAAACTGTTTTGATTTGAGTGCAACTAATGAGTCAAGTGTAGATGAAAAACAGTCATCTGGCATACTTTTATGTTTTACCCCTGTCCGTCCTTCTGTCCGTCTGTCTGTCCCATTATGGGTATATAGTTATTCTGCATAACTCCTGCTACAGTTTGAATACTAGGAAGTTTTCACTTTGCTGTCTGTTTGTACATATATTGAAGGTGTGCATGTGGTCAGGGTTTTGATTTTTGTTAATATTTGCTCTTTTGGGAGATAGTGGAACTTTGTCATTTTTGGAGTATATACTTGCATAAGAGGTGCATAGTGTTTCCAGATAACTCCTACAGTGAACCATAGACCTATGTGCTCCCATGCTCAACTTTGTGTATTTTGAAATAACACTTTGTATCTGCGGGGGCATCTTTTGTGTCTCCCAGACACAATAATATCTCAAAGAAAGTCCTACATTGACTTTGTTATAATACAGTTACTTCAGAGTGGAGTGCTGGGGCATCACTTTGTCTAGTATTTTATGTGTTGCCTTTCATCTTGAAAACTACAATACTAGTAGATAGATTGAAACAGAAAACAAGCGAAAAAATGATTATTAGTGTACGGTAATTACATGAATATTGTTGAATTTTGTCCCAAGTAGATTTTTATATTGCACAAACTTGCAGGGGTGGGGACATTTCAGTTAGATTTTAATCAACTTGGTACCACTAGAAAGAGAATAGTCACATGTTTATTTGGTTAAATTTGATTTAATTGTTTTAGAAATCAATTGAATTCTTAATTATTGTCAGGAAATTTCGACTTAATTCACAAATCCTAAATAATTAGTAGTGTGTTAAAATCAGGTGGAAAATGAAGACAAACTATCATCAATTAAAAAATTAAATTAAAGACAATTTTGCGTTTTCTGGTTTGCAAAATCTAAACACAAATACTTTCAGAATAATTTTTAGATGAAAAATGCGTTTTATGTGAAATACATAGGGAAAACTGTAGGTGAGGAATTCTTATGCACTGTAGGACTTGCATTGTGAATTTTTTTTCTTCAGTTAACAGAAATTGGAGATAAGAGTTATGTTAACTACCATCCTATACTTGGAATAGTTGTGTTTTTACTTGCACTTTTAAATGTAAGTATATATGTAATATTAATTCTGAGACACTCCTCTTAATCTTGAATTTTAACATATCATGTACTATAGCTTTATTCTTACCAATCGGTGATGAATATTTTAAAATATGTGGTTGTCTGTTATTTAATGTTTAATATACTGGTTGGCTAAAATTTAATCATAGTCCTATAGAATGTTGATTTTTCACATTTATTCATTACCTGTAATCTTTATGAAATCTTTGTTTATTTGTATACCAATTAGGAAATTTTAATTGTGTCCAGTTTGAAGGTAAATGTTGATTTACAAAAGGAGGGATCAAAATTTTGCACAAAATGGCATAATATTTTAAAAGATTTATGTTTGAATTATTAAAGACTTGCTTAAATGACCTAATCATTTGAAATTTGTGCATTGCTTTCTTAAATTTTATGATCATATTCATTTTTGAGGATAATATTTTGTGAAACAAGTGCTTTCATATGTAAAAAGGGGAATGTGGTATGATTGCCAATGAGCTAACTATGCATAAAAACCAAAGGACAAAGAAGTAATCAATAACATGTCACCGTACAACCTTCAACATTCACCAAAACTCATACTGTATAGTAGGCCTTCAAATCTTTTTGATGAAAAAATGTAAAACAATTCAAAAGCAACCACTTGAATTTATGTTACAACAATAGATGAAAACAAATAAGCATTGAAATAAGATGTTATCTTACTTGATAAGTGGTTCATCCACCAAGACAGTAATGTGCAACTTGCTCTTCAGGTTACTGCGATAGACAGTTTTTAACAGAATGTCAGATTTTTTATGTAACTTTTTTTGTTTTTAGCCAATAATTGCAATGTTTCGTTGTGCACCAGATCATGAACACAGGCCTTTATTTAACTGGTTACATTCAATAGTTGGAACAAGTGCACATATAATTGGAGGTATTAACTTAACTGAGCTACTCATTAAAATAACTGCTTCAACTTTAATCTATGGAGATTCTGTTCTTATTGCGTCTTGCTCTCGACAAAATTTCAGAAGACAAACTTAAGTTTTACTTTTTTCTGTCAGTGGCACAGCTGTCAGCATAAATAGTCGCAAATGCTTTCCTCTCTATTCCCAAAGTATAAGGTATGCAAATTATGATACAAATTGCCACTTCCGGGTGAAATCATTTTCATACACAATTCAGATAAATACCGTAGAAAGGCTTGTATAGTCCGCGGTTTTATTCTCCAAAATTGGACCTTCCAGACGGGGTGCGGACTATAGAGTACAATAAGCAAGAAATAAGAGAAAAATTTCAATTTCGCGGTCGAGGTGGTTTGTTTACGTTCCGCCATCTTTGTTATTTCTATTGTAGAGGGCGCTCTTATCATTTTTCAAACTAATAATTTTAACTCATCCATATTAATAAGTTATTTCTATTCAATATCAAATTAATACTGATAAATATAAAAACTAAACCTTTCATTACAAATTTCTCGTTTCTTTTCAATGCATTGGTTGAAATAAACTGGTATCTGCTCGATTGAAACGATACAAACATAGTGAAAAAGACAACCGTAAACCAGCTTAGAATTTGTAAACTACAAAACGAAATCGGTTATTGTTCGTTCCGTTTTGGTGTTTCATACTGACTAATATGGTTTGTATTAGCTTAAGACCCTTCAAACATTAATGTGATAGATATATTAAAGACTGTTTTACAAAAGGATGGAACTGTTTTGCTTTCAAAGTCGTATTATAGTGATATCTGTTATGTACGGATTTCGACTCTCACCGGTTAATTTCTTCTTTTACACGTGCTTTTTAAACTTCCTGTTTAAACATACACAAGTTTCTAAATTGTTTTTTAAGTGAATTAAACTTATTTTAACAATCATGAAGCGTTCTAGAATCATTAACAAGCAGTTTCAGCTTCTGTTTGATGATGGAAAACAGGTTTTTCCAAGAAAATACCGCAAACGACCGCACAGGATTTGAAATTACCGGAGTTTCATTAGACCTTTTCTAACAGTTACAAAAAGTTTTTTTTCCTAAAATTTCGTGGGGAGAAGGGGGTGCGGACTATGTACCACTGCGAACTATACAAGCCTTTTTACGGTAACCATACATGACAAATTGACAGGTCTTGTTTTAGAAAGGGACAAATCATACTTTAAAAAAAACAAAAACAATCTGATTCAAATGAAAAAATCACTTACACTGACATCATCAAGACGCTAGGGTCTCTAGTGAACAGTTGTCTCATTGGCAATTATACCACATCTTCTTATTTTTAAAATATTTAAACAAGAGCTTCTCAAGAAAATTTTAAAGAAGCTGGCATTAGACTTACTTCATGTTCTGCTAATAATTCAAATTCCATTACTGTTGGGACTGCATCTCTCTGAATGAACTTGAAACATGGGATACCACACATACAGTTAAGTCTGCTACATATCTTGAATTATATCTACAAATTGACAATGAGGGCTGGTTGAGAGCCTACAGGAAATTTTTACAACAAAAAAGATGACAATTTTCTAATTGTGAACATTCCACTTCTGTGTAGCAACATTCCAGAAGCACCTGGATATTGAATGTATATCCCTGAGTTTATACAATATTCCCTTGTTTCCTATTATGATTTCCTTGATGGAGGGTTGCTGCTTAATAGGAACATATTGCACCAAATGTTTAAATGGTTATGTTAAAGTCATCCCTTCGAAAGTTTTATGGATGCAATCATGATTTGGTTGACTGGTAAGGGTCTGTAATTTTTTTCAGGTGATTTTGGTTTTTTTTTTTTTTGCTGACTAGAAAGTCTTGTTCATTTTGTATCTCAGTGATCTTTTCTCATCATTTAGCGTCCGTCAGTCATCTTCCCTTAAGTTTTACAAAAATATTCTCCTCTGAAACTGCTGGGCCACTTGGAAGCAAAGTTGGCCACAATGATACTTGGGATATCTATTTTAATAATTGTGTCTGATAACTTCACCTGCCAACATGGCTGACATGACTATTAAAAAGAACATAGGGGTAAAATGAACATTTTGTCTTTTATCTTAAGAACTGCTATTGATGTGATAGATAGAGAAAATCTGACATGGACAGAAATGTTCAGAATGTTTATATCTACCTTTTGTCCATTTATGTCAAAAACTGTCAGACAACTTTATAGAGGAGTTATTACCCTTAAATGACAACTTTTACCATTTTTTTAGAGCACCTGACCCAAAGGGCCAAGTGAGCTTTTCTTATCACTTGGCGCGTCATCCGTCGTCGTCCGTCGTTAACTTTTACAAAAATCGTCTCCTCTGAAACTACTTGGCCACAATCATCATTGGGGTATCTAGAATGATCTAGATTTAGGATATCTAAAAATGTGTCCGATGACCCTGCCCACCAACCAAGATGGCCATCATGGCTAAAAATAGAACATAGGGGTAAAATGTAGATTTTGGCTTTTATCTCTGAAACCAAAGCATTTAGAGCAAATCTGACATGGGGGTTAAATTGTTCATCAGGTCAAGATCTATATGCCCCTGAAATTTTTCAGACAAATCAGACAACCCGTTGTTGGGTTCCTGCCCCTGAATTGGTAATTTTAAGAAAATTTTGCAGTTTTTGGTTATTATCTTGAATATTATTATAGATAGAGATAAACTGTAAACAGCAATAATGTTCAGCATAGTTAGATCTACAAATAAGTCTACATGACCAAAGTGGTCAATTGACCCCTTAAGGAGTTATTGTCCTTTATAGTCAATTTTTAACAATTTTTTGTAAATTTTTGTAATCTTTTACAAAAATCTACTCTGAAACTACCGAGACAAATTTAACCAAACTTGGCCACAATTATCATTAGGGTATCTAGTTTAAAAAATGTGTCCGATGACCCCGCCTACCAACCAACATGGCCGACATGGCTAAAAATAGAACATGGGGGTAAAATGCAAGTTTTGTCTATTATTTTTTGAACCGTTATAAATAGAGAAAATCTGAAAGGAGCAAAAATGTTCAGAATAATGAGCTCTACCAATTGTCCATATACATCAAAACTGTTATACAAATTCTTATAGGAGTTATTGCCCATAAATGACAAATTCTACCATTTTTTTCATTTTTGCCTATTATCATGAAAACTATGATCTATGACTTTTTTTCCATTATGCCTTATATGATTTAAATTATAATAACATGATCTGTACTTATTGTCTTTTTGTTGTGGGGATGTATAAGTACCCTGCCACGTCCACTCTATGTTTTTGTAACTTGTTTTTGCTTTGTATCTTATCTGATGAGTTTAGCCCTTTTCAACTGATTTTTATAGTTTGTTCTTATGTTGTACTGTTACACCACTGTTCCAGGTTAGGGGTAGGGTTGGGCATTCTGTATGTGCCTGTCCCAAGTCAGGAGCCTGTAATTCAGTGGTTGTCGTTTGTTGCTGTATATCATATTTGTTTTTCGTTCATTATTTTGTACATAAAGCAGGCCGTTAGTTTTTTCGTTTGAATAGTTTTACATTTGTCATTTCGGCGCCAATTATAGCTGACTATGTGGTATGGGCTTTGCCGTACGGTGAACGATAGTTATTAATTTCTGTTTCATTTGGTCTCTTGTGGAGAGTTGTCTCATTGGCAATCATACCACATCTTCCTATTTTTATATGGCCAAAATCATTAGTCAGCTCCTTGATGGAATCCTTGCTCTGTAATGCAATTTTTCTTAATTTTTGGGGTTTTGCCTATTTTCTTGAAACTATAAAAGATAGACCAAAATGATCAAGACAATTTCTACAAATAAGTCAAATTTTGCTGAAATTGTCAGTCAGACTCTTTATAGGAGTGATTTGCACTTAAATGACGATTTTTTTTTACCCTTTTTGTGTTAGGGACGACATCAAAAATTCAATGTAGGATAAAAAACTTAATTCACATAGTTTTTTCACTGACCCCCACCCCCCTCTTAACTTAATTTGGGAAAAGTTGATTGACCAGATGGATATATGTAAAATCGATTTTGGATAAACAAAACTTGCAGCAATTATTTCCCCCACCCCCCCCCCCCCCCTCCACCCCCACCCCCCCCCCCCCCCCCCCCCTTCCCCCCCAAACTATTTGATTTAAGTTTTTTATCCTACATTGATCTTTTGATGTCGTCCCTTATGGGCATATCTAAAAAAGATAAAGATAAACTGTTAAAACAGAAAAAATGATCAGCGAAGAAAGATCAACAAAAAAGAGATTTTTGTCATGAATTCTATTCTAGTCTACAATGTTGGAGATTTACATAGACCTAGGTGAGCAACACAGGCTCTTTAGAGCCTCTAGTTTCATATTCATATTCATAGCAAAAGTCAAAACATTAAAGACTTGCGTCAGCAATTTAACAGCCTGAAGTACATGAAATTTCATACCTGTTTTGTTTTTTTGGTATAAAGAGTGATATATGTGATGCAATTTTTTAAAATCCTTAAAATTGACAATTCCTCGGGAATTGATAATCCTACTTTTGATTTTGAGAAAAGAAATATAAATTTGGAAATGATTTGGAATCAATTTGGAATATGTGTTTCTTCTGATTATTCAATGGCAGTAAATCTGCTTATTTTTTAATTAAGAGCTGTAAAAATGTTTTAATATAACTGATCGTGTAATTTTGAATGAAATTATTCAGTATTAAGTTATTAAGAAATAACAGAATTACTGTCAGCTTGAGAATTTCCATTCATATGTTTTGACATAAATCATTTTGCCATCCAATGAAATTGAGTGCTAAAGCTAGATTGCTAGTAGTGACTTTTTGATAATAGAAATTGGTTATGCTGATAATTTATTATAGAATTGAATGTTGTTTTTAAAATTTATACATAATGAAAGCAAGTGTCTATCACATTTTGCATGAATTGTGGAAGTTTCTTGCTTTCAAATGACATGGGTTGCTTTCATATGGCATTGGTTGTTTTCTTATAAAATGAAAGCATGAGATGGAATCAAATGATTCATCTTTTACCCAATAAAATATCATTTGCATGAATTGAGCCCTTATTGTAAAAATTGTGATGTAAATGCCTTCTAACATGTAATTTTGTAATAGGATAGTAAAAATTAATTTTGAATATGTTCTTTTTTTCAGCTATAACAGTTGGATTTGGATTGAATATATCTAAAGCTAATGTAGATAGTACTGCAAATTACATTTTGATAGAGTATGCTATTGCCTTTGTTGTCATAGAATTTTTACTAGCACGTCTTTCACAACAACCAAATACTCCAGGTAATTAGTAGTGTCCTGATTTTAAATGATCACTCACTTTTTTAAAGTTGTAATTTAAGATTATATGTACTTTTTGAGTCAAAGCTAATTGCAAATGTATCAATGTCACAGCTATATACTATATTACACAAAAAATTCCACACATTGCAAAATTCAATGTTGAAATTATTGTATAAAAAAGTCTTTTTTAAAGGTTACACAGCTCGTAAACGACAACAGTTTAATAGTAAGCTGTGCAAAATATAGACGATTTGATTTATTAATGCTGAGAATATATGCACAGCAAAACTTTGCCCAAAATGATATTTCTTATAGAAAAAAAATGTATTCTTTTTTCTTATCTATTTGCTAGAGAAAATGGACACATTGTTCTTTTAATATAAATGATAAAACATAGAACTTTAATATGGGAAATTTGTGGAGGTTTTAGATTTGTGAAAATTTGAATTGTTCTTCAAAATGTGATCATTTGACAGATGAAATACATTTTTTAAATAATAAGAAAAAAAGAAAATGGGGCGATCAGTTATTTTTTATAAGTTCATATAGGACACTGGATGGCAATGAGGTAAAAGGCAGAGGCACATGTTTAATAAGCCATGTCTGAAATGTTTCCATATGACAGTTTTTGTTATTTTCAGATAAAAAGGTTTTCAATCTTTCTGCTTCAGAAAAGGAACCACAAAATGTAAGTAGTAGATGTATCACGCATCATCAGTTAACTTAGTGTGTAGATTATATGTCAACTATTATTTCCTATATTCCAAAGTAGTGTGTAGATAATATGTCATCTAATATTTCCTATATTCCCAAGTAGTGTGTAGATTATACATCATCTATTATTTCCTATATTCCCAAGTAGTGTGTAGATTATATGTCATCTATTATTTCCTATATTTCCAAGTAGTGTGTAGATTATCCCTCATCTAATATTTCTTATATTCCCAATTAGTGTGTAGATTATATGTCATCTATTATTTCCTATATTCCCAAGTAGTGTGTAGATTATCTGTCATCTATTATTTCCTATATTCCCAAATAGTGTGTAGATTATCCGTCAGCTAATATTTCCTATATTCCCAAGTAGTGTGTAGATTATACATCATCTATTATTTCCTATATTTCCAAGTAGTGTGTAGATTATATGTCATCTATTATTTCCTATATTTCCAAGTAGTGTGTAGATTATCTGTCATCTATTATTTCCTATATTTCCAAGTAGTGTGTAGATTTTCTGTCATCTATTATTTCCTATATTTCCAAGTAGTGTGTAGATTTTCTGTCATCTATTATTTCCTATATTTCCAAGTAGTGTGTAGATTTTCTGTCATCTATTATTTCCTATATTTCCAAGTAGTGTGTAGATTATCTGTCATCTTTTATTTCCTATATTCCCTAGTAGTGTGTAGATTATACGTCATCTATAATTTCCTATATTCCCAAGTACAAATGTAGTGTGTAGATTATACGACATCTATTATTTCCTATATTCCCAAGTAGTGTGTAGATTATACGTCATCTATTATTACCTATATTCCCAAGTGTATAAAATCACATCCATACAATCAGTATACTTTTAACATCTCATTGGTAAAAATACAATGTAGTATAAAAAGTGGGAAGCCTGAGTAATTAAACAATTTGCTTAACCTGCATTTTGCTATTGAATATGCCCTAGTTGTGAAATCTCATCAGAGGCTGATATTTTTATGCCCCACCTAGGGGCATTATGTTTTTCGGTCTGTGCGTCCGTCCATTCGTCTGTTTGTCCGTCCATCTGTCTGCTTCAGGTTAAAGTTTTTGGTCAAGGTAGTTTTTGATGAAGTTGAAGTCCAATCAACTTGAAACTTCGTACACATGTTCCCTATGATATGATCTTTCTAATTTTAATGCCAAATTATAGTGTTAACCCCAATTTGAGAGTCTGACGTATGACCTTTAGATATCCTTTTTGGCATTATTGTGTTGTTATGTAACTGTAAACTGTAAACTCCTTTTATTCATATAAAGTTAGATCACTCTGACTTTTGACTTTTGGGGTGTCATATATCAAAGTCAGGTCACTTTGACCTTGAATTTAACCTTTGACCCCTATGATAGTAAAACATTGTCTGATTTGTGTTTTGTGCATAACATTTGTAGAACTAAGATTGACAAAACTTTGTATGCAGAAGCATCATACTGACCTTGACCTTTAATTTATGAATTTACAGTATACAAACCTCAGACTTTGTTCCTGGGTCAGTATAGTTCTTTCAGATTGACCTAGCAATAACCATGTGTCAATCTAACACAAAGGCAATAATTATTTAAAATGAAATAGCTAAAAACCAAAAATTTCAAAACCTCATTGCCTCAATACAGGATTTCACACTAGTAACTAAAATGCATGTATGGGGGTATTAATCACGCTTTTCAGACAAGTTTAGGTATTGAAAGACCTCATTGGGCCAAGTGAGTTATTCTCATCACTTGGCTTCCATTATGTTGTTATCTGTCGTCTGTCATCCTTTAACTTTTACAAAAATCTTCTCCTCTACATGACCAATAGGAAATAATCTTTAACACAATCATCCTTAGGGTATATAGTTCTTTTTTTTTTTTAATGATCCCACCTGCAAACCAACATGGCGACTAATGCTAAAAATTCGTAAGGGTTCGGCAGAACCCAGTGTCTCGCCTACTTTTGCTGTTAATCGCAGGCTCAACAAAAATGAGATGAGGAAAAAATTTAATAAAATATTCCTCTCGATACAATTTTTTTATTGTAAGAAGCTTCTGTCCAAGTTTGGTAAAAATCCAGGATAGTTTATGAATCTAATAAATGTTTTAAAAAATTTAACTGCAGACTGTATCTAATGTTAACTGGAAGAAAAACTAAGTCCATTTATAAGTAAAATATGGATAAAGAAGTACAAAATTTTAATAAAAATTTCCTTCTAGATACTAGCTTTTGATCATAAACAAACTTCTGTCCATGTTTGGTACAAATCCAGGATAGTTTAAGAAAGTTATTAAAATTTTAAAAACCTTAACCACAGAGTGAATGTAATGTTCCGCGGAACCCTTACAAATTTTTACCAATTTATTTTTGTTTTTACCTATTATCTTGAAAACTATAAAAGATACAGAAAAAATTAACATAGCAAAATCTACAATTAAGTCATGGATGCCAAATCATTAGTCAACTAATTACCAGAGGTTTTAGGAATTATTGCCCTTTATTGTCTCCTGCACTATGCATTGTGGGGACATAGAAATACTGGCTTCCCTCCATCCATCTGTCTGTCCAGTCTTGTTAGTGCTCGCACCTGTGCAATTCTTGCCAGATTTTTATAAGCGCGTCAAAATTTTGACGGGACGTATTATGGTATACAAATTTCTGGCGTCCGTCTGTCTGTCTGTCCGGCGTCCACATGTTGCACCGTAACTTGAGAATGACTTAGTTGTTTCTTATGATGGTCAAATGATCTGTATACTTTCTGGTGAAAATAAAATTAAAACTTTTTGAGTTACGGGACTTTGTAACTAAAACAGAGGGGGGGGTTTCACATGTCGCGCCGTATCTCAAAAACAATTTATGATAATTGCTTAAAACTTTACACACTTCTTAATTATATTAATATAAAAATCTGTATACTTTTTTGGTGATGATTCAAAATTTTATTTTAGGGTTATTGATTTTTTTATAAAAAAGGGGGGTTTTCACATGTCGCGCCGTATCTCAGAAATGATTTATAATTATTGCATAAAACCTCACACACAAGAGCATGGGCTTATCAATAAACTACTTTAAAAAGAGTGATTTCCCTTGAAAATATTAATTATATGGAAAATTGTATTGTATAGTGCTCTAATGTGTACAAATCAGATTTTTTATCAGATTGTCTTGGACAAGTTTGTATTAGTGCTAATCAATTATTTTTAAAAGAGTAATGCCCTTTGGAAATATTGATTATATGGAAAATTGCATTGTAAGTGCTTTCATGTGTACAACTTTTGCCAGATTTTTATCAAATTTATATCAAAGGTTTATTTTTTGCAATGTCTCATATTGTTTTGAAAGTCAGTGACGATCAGATATTTAAAAAAAAGTTAAGCCCCTTGGGAAAAGTAGTATTTGTACTAAAAAAAATGTATAGTTTATATTTTTTCACTATTTTGTTTGCTCAAAGAGACAAATATGATTGTGTAGCTACCAGTCTTGTATTACAACTCTGGTTTCCGGTGCATGTCAAAACATGGAATAAAATAAAATAGTCTTATGTACACTTTACAATCATTACATACACCAAATATAGTAGACCTATTGCTTATAGTATCTGAGATATGGACTTGACCATGAAAACTTAACCTTGTTCACTGATCCATGAAATGAGGTGGAGGTCAAGTGAAAACTGTCCGACAGGCATGAGGACCTAGCAATGTAGGCACATACCAAATATAGTTATCCTATTACTCATTATAAGAGAGAAATTAACATTACAAAAAATCTTAACTTTTTTTCAAGTAGTCACTGAACCATGAAAATGAAGTCAAGGACAATGGAAATATGACAGACGGAAACTTCATATCATGAGGCATCTATATACATTGTATGAAGCATCCAGGTCTTCTACCTTCTGAAATATTAAGCTTTTCAGAAGTTAGTTAACGTCGCCACTGCCGCCAGATCACTATCCCTATGTTGAGCTTTCTTCGACAGAAGTCGCAGGCTCGACAAAAATGAATAACATTGAAAAAGTTAAATATTGTTTGCTTTTATCTTTTTTATATTGATTATAACACAAGGAATGTTTTTATTTTTTATGAATTTAAAGAGTTCAGATAATAAATCCTGAAAGTATCTTGTGTGAAATTATGAAAAATGTAAATTTCTATAAATAAATGACCCCCATTTCAAGGATAAGAATGTGAAAGTTGACATTTTATATATTAGACTTTTAGAAAATCCTGAGATAGTTTCTTTTATATTTTATCCTCGACAAATCAGATGCTTTTTGACACTGAAATATGGAAAAGACCTGCTTTTTACGCCATTCATTGTTGTGTTTAGAAATGTCATCTATCTATATAATAACTCAGGAAAGCCTATTTGAAATCAAGGTCACAGTCAACAATGGCTGCAGATGATGTTGGACGCTGACAAAATATTATGATCATCGTGAGATTTGGAACTAACCAGCATACATTTTTCCTGTACACGACGTTTTCAATAATTAAAATGACATGACGTGTCTGTCTTATTTGATGATGGTATTATGATGGATTTAAAAAAAAAGCATTGCAAAAAAACTCCATTTTTGATGAATTGACTTAATTTTTCCATAGTTTTATTGTCGAGCCTGCGACTTTTGTCGCAGAAAGCTCGACATAGGGATAGCAATCCGGCGGCGGCGGCGGCGTTAGCTAACTTCTTAAAAGCTTTATATTTTAGAAGATGGAAGACCTGGATGCTTCATACTTTGTATATGGATGCCTCATGTTACGAAGTTTCCGTCAGTCACATGTCCAATGTCCTTGACCTCATTTTCATGGTTCAGTGACTACTTGAAAAAAAAGTTCAGATTTTTTGTAATGTTAAATTCTCTCTTATTATAAGTAATAGGATAACTATATTTGGTATGTGCGTACCTTGCAAGGTCCTCATGCCCGTCAGACAGTTTTCACTTGACCTCGACCTCATTTCATGGATCAGTGAACAAGGTTAAGTTTTCGTGGTCAAGTCCATATCTCAGATACTATAAGCAATAGGTCTAGTATATTCGGTGTATGGAAGGACTGTAAGGTGTACATGTCCAACTGGCAGGTGTCATCTGACCTTGACCTCATTTTCATGGTTCAGTGGTTATAGTTAAGTTTTTGTGTTTTGGTCTGTTTTTCTTATACTGTATGCAATAGGTCTACTATATTTGGTGTATGGAATGATTGTAAGGTGTACATGTCTAGCTGGCAGGTGTCATCTGACCTTGACCTCATTTTCATGGTTCAGTGGTCAAAGTTAAGTTTTTGAGTTTTGGTCTTTCTTTCTAATACTGCATGCAATAGGTCAGCTATATTTGGTGTATGGAATGATTGTAAGGTGTACATGTCTAGCTGGCAGGTGTCATCTTACCTTGACCTCATTTTCATGGTTCAGTGGTCAAAGTTAAGTTTTTGAGTTTTGGTCTTTTTTTCTAATACTATATGCAATAGTTTAACTATATTTGGTGTATGGAAATATTTTATGATCTATATGTCAGTCACGCAGGTTTTATTTGACCTTGACCTCATTTTCAAGGTTCATTGCTCAGTGTTAAGTTTTTGTGTTTTCGTCTGTTTTTCTTAAACTATAAGCAATAGGTCAACTATATTTGTTGTATGGAAGAATTGTTAGCTGTACATGCCTGCCTAGCATGGTTCATCTGACCTTGACCTCATTTTCATGGTTCATTGGTCAATGTTTAGTTTACTTGGTTAATGTTAAGTTTATGTGACAGTTGTAATAAAGCTTTATATTTAGGACTATCAACATAATATCAATGATTAGTAAAGAAGGCGAGACATTTCAGCGTGTGCACTCTTGTGCAAATTAAATTTATATTCTTCTTAAACATCGTAAAAAATACAAGTGAACATTTGTTGTAATATGTACTTATTGACTTTTAATCAATGATCGCACGCCAGCTCAAGGAAAAGTATCAACATGTCGGTTTACCAAAATTGCCAAGGAAAATCACACTCTTTCATTGGGATCAATTAGGGCGGGTGAAGGTCGAGTGAAATTTTGATAATGTCATAGAGACGCACGATCCAGTTCAATCCGGTAAAGAAAGTGTTAAAAGATTGCACTTTTTTGTCGTATTTTAAATTTTGGTTATCCTCAGTGAGAAACTTGAGATTAGTTGTCACTTGAAAAACTATGAATGTTAGTTAGTAGATAGTTGCTAATATTGATGTATTCATTGCAACAAAGAAGAAATGAAATACAACCTCACAAAAAGCACCACATACATATACATAAACATTTGAAAATTAGATAGGTCATCAAGGTTACGGATAGAATTGTCAAATTTGTTACAAATTTTGGTAGATAAAGGAATAAATAAAGAATTTGTTAAGGAAAGTCTACAAAAAAGAGTGATTAAATCCTAATGCCATTTCACAGTAGATAAACTGTTATACTTTGTACACACAAATAATTTGAGGTAAGACCATTGTATGTCTGATAAAATATTTGAAATCTTCTACATTGTATGGTTTCCAAGCTAATCTAGAAAATAAAGATATTCAGTGTTAGTAAAGATCATTAGCAATCCTTTAACAATCCTCACAGTTAAAGTTTTTTATACGCCCGCTTACGGGACGTATTATGGTATACTGTTGACCGTCTGCCCATCCGACCGTCCGTCCGTCGTAAACATGTCGGACATTAACTCAAAAACACTTTACCCAATTTGCATAAAACTTTGGTGAATTGTATATATCTATTGACAAAAGCTGACCCTTTCGTTTTTCTTAAATTTTAGATTTTACGTTTCAGAGAAATGGGGTTTTATTCATTATAAGAAGGGGGGGTTTCCAGTTTTCGGACAATAACTAAAAAATGCTTTCTCCAATTTGCAAGAAACTTTGGTCAATTGTTTCTATCTATTGACATAAGCTCCCTTTCGATTTTTATAAATTTCAGATTTTACGTTTTCGAGTTATGGGGTTTTATTCATTAAAAAAAGGAGGATTTTCCAGTTTTCGGACAATAACTCAAAAATGCTTTCAGCAGTTCTCAGGAAACCTTGGTGAATTGTTTATATCTATTGATGTAAGCTCCCTTTTGATTTTTATTAATTTTAGATTTTTGGTTTCTGAGTTATGGGGTTTTATTCATTAAAAAAAGGAGGATTTTCCAGTTTTCGGACAATAACTAAAAAATGCTTTCAGCAGTTCTCATGAAACTTTGGTGAATTGTTTATATCTATTGATGTATGCTCCCTTTTGATTTTTATAAATTTTAGATTTTATGTTTCCGAGTTATGGGGTTTTATTCATTAAAAAAAGGGGGGATTTTCCAGTTTTTTGACAATACCTTTAAAGTGCTTTGAGCAGTTTTCATTAAACTTTCGTGCCTGGTTTATATCTATTAAGGTAACTTCCCTTTATTTGTTTATAGTCTGAAAACAGATTTACTAAGTATTGCGCAACAGCACAGTGTATTGCACAACAGTAAGAAATCTTTAATTGAATATAAATTCAATTCATATAACCAATTTCAAGTTCTTTGACTACATTTATTCAGAAACCTATAATATGTCAAATATTTAATTACAATCCAAATTTAGACCTGTATCAAGCTTGGATATTGTGTCCATTTTTGCCCCAACTGTTCAGGGTTGGACCTTTGCGGGCGTATCCAGCTGCGCTCAGTGAAGCAGTTTATCTAATTTGTTTGAATAACAAATACCACAATTGTCCCACCCTTCACATACATAACTCATATCTACATGTATCTTTTCATTGCTGAATTTGAGAAGCACCTTATATTGATTATTTACATTCTGAAAGGCATAAAAATGAATTCTAATGCAATTATTTTGTATCAGTGGTTCTGATTGGATGACAATAAGCGTAAAATTCTCTGTCTCCCTGTTTGTAACTAAGGAAGCCAACATTTTGAATACTTGAATGTATAGACAATTGTAATTTCTCTAATAATAAGCCAAAAAACTCACATTTTGCACATAGAAATTTCTTTTTATCAAATTTTATTACATTCTGAAGCGGAGAAGAAGCCAGAAAATGCCGGGTGTTTACGTTTGATTCTGGAAGCATACCTATGATGTCACCTAGTTTATGCGCCAATGAAGATAACACCATTTTGCGGAATTTTCGTTTAATGAAAATTTTACACGGAAATAATGACTAAAATTGAATGATTTGTTTATTTGGCTTTAGAATAGAGATAACTGTATTTTATTTGCAGCTTTGTGGACATCCATTGGTAGTTTTACTGTTTCAAATATCTGTTTACCCGTCTCCGCTATGAGTTGCCAAGTAAACTAAAAATTTACGACAGTAAAACTACCGATGGACGTCCGCAAAGCTTCAAATACAATACAGTTATCTCTAAAATGCCCTAATATTTGAAAAGTAGAAAATGGAATAATCATATATAAGAGAAAAACGAATCAAAGAGCTTTTAAATTGAAAAGAATACTACTTTTGGATTATTTGTTGATATATGTATTAATACAATCTCTTTTTTGACAGGAAAGTGGTGCCATGAAGTTTGTTTTGTTTCTTCATGTTATTGCCATGACAACAAGCTGTGCTATGTTGGTTTACCTTGTGCTACAGGCTTAGACAATAGATGATCTTTATTAAGCAGTTCAAAGTTTTTCATCATTGTAATAAATTAGTCTTTCATTTTTGTGGATGTAATCTTTATGAAACAGTACAAAGTTTCTGATGATTGTCACATATAAGTCTTTCATATTTCTGGATGTGATAATTTAATTGAATGTTAACTGTCAATTTTAAATTGCTTTGTGTGTTTTGTATATGTTGGTTAATCTGCCTAGTCATATGCAAGATTTCTAGACACACATAATTATACGAGCAAAAAATTTTTTGGGATCTTATAATGGTATGATGTCGTCGTCTGCGTCTGCATCAGAAGACACATTGGTTTCCGGACAATAACTTTAGTTTAAGTGAATGGATCTCTATGAAATTTTTTAAGAAGGTTCAATACCACAAAAGGAAGGTTGGGATTGATTTTGGGGATGATGGTCCCAACTGTTTAGGAATTAGGGGCCCAAAAAGGGGCCCAAAACAAGCATTTTTCTAGTTTCAGGATAATAACTTGTGTATAAGTATTTCGATAGCTCTGAAATTGTACCACAATGTTTAATACCACAAGTAGAAGGTTGGGATTCGTTGTAGGGGTTATGGGGCCAACAGTTTAGAAATTAAGGGTCAAAAAGGGGCCAAATACAAGCATTTTTCTAGTTTCCAGACAATAACTTGTGTTAGTGTATGGATCTCTCTGACATTGTACCACAAGGTTCCATATAACAAAGGGAAGGCTGGAATTGAGTTTGGGGTTAATTGCCCCAAACATGTAGGAATTGGGGGCCAAAAAAGGGCCAAAAACAAGCATTTTTCTAGTTTCCAGACAATAACTTGTGTGTAAGTGTGTGGATCTCTCTGAAATTGTACTACAAGGTTCCATACTTCAAAGGAAAGGCTGGGATTGAGTTTTGGGGTTATTGCTCCAAGGGGGGTTTCAAAAAGTGTTAGGGGGGCCCAGGGGGGGGGGATTTGTTTCCCAATTTTTTAAGGGATTCATATTTTTTTTTTCAAAATTTTTAAATTTTCGAATTTTTGAAAAGTTTCAAGAAGAAATCTTCAATTGCACAGTATTGCGCAATGGATTTATAAGATCTGTGACCACATTTATTATGTGTCAGAAACCTATATAATGTCAAAAATTTTATCACAATCCAAATTCAGACAGTATCAAGCTTGAATATTGTGTCTTAATTTGCCCCAACTGTTCAAGGTTCGACCTCTGCGGTCATATCAGGCTGCGCTCAGCAAAGTATTTTATTACCGGTACCTCTTGATATTTTTGAATCTATAAGCAATTAAAAAAAAAAACAACATATTTTTTCAGTTTATTGACATAATTTCTGCTATTCATTTATGGAATAATTTTCATTGAAGAAGGTATAAAATATGTTTATACATCTCACTTGGTAAGCTATTTAGTATTAGGGAGCCCAAATATATAAATGTCATCCTTAAATATTTGTTTGCTTGGTGTTACAGTTTTTTATCAGCTGAATGTAAGATAAAATTTGATTCTAAGCAAAATGAATATTTTCTTGTAGAAAGTTAGAAACCATAATGTTCAATGGTTTAAAAACTTGTATAGCCATTTGATATTGAATTAATTTTCCAAGTTTAACCAATTCAAACTGATAAACAATATAGAAGAGGATGTTATTATGTCAACTTCTTATATTACTCTGGCAGATTTCATTGATAATTTATTAAGATTATCCTTTCCACTATGATAACAATTACATCATAAAGTGCAACAAATACTAAATATTAAACTAAATAACATGTATATTCATAGGTAATAACTTTTGTATCTTTTGTAATAAATTGAATCTGTTTCTATATGATATAAGAAGTATTATTTATATGTATATGATTGTGACATTTTATAAACATCCAAAAATATCTGGTAGAAAGATAGAAGTAAGCTGTGTTGTCAAGATTAAATGGTTATATGAAAAAAGAACATGCTGAGCATACATAAATTAGACAGCAACCCAACAACACAGAGAACCCAGACATAAAGAGGTCAAGGTACAATCTTTAACAATCAACAGATGTCTATACTACATGAGCTGCATAAAGGTGTATTGATATTCATTTGCATAAGGTTAATTTCTATCCGACAAAGCTCACATGTTAAGTTCTAAATAATGGGGTGTTGCTAAAAGATAGAAACAGAATAAGGAACAGAAATCAGAAACAGAAAGAATTTACATCTTTCTTTTTGGTTATTTATTTTAATAGGCATGTTGTATTTTGTATATCCTGGGACTTTTTTTATTACTTATATAGTATAATAGTCCCAGGTATATCACATGTTTACAAGAAAGAAAAACAGAGGAATATATTTAAGAAAATGATTTTGAAAGCATAAAGTATTGAAATAAATGGCAGGAGAGGATGAGCCTATGTTTTTTAAATATTTAATAAGGGCATGCATATTTTTTCTGATTTTCAAAAAAAAATAAAAAATGAATAAATGAAATGATCGAAAAGAGATGTGGGATAAACGTCAATAAGACAGTAACCCAACAACCCAAAAAATAATCTACATACCACCTAAAACAATGGACATTCACCTAGATCCTAGATAGGTTGTGGAGTAATTCATTTTTGGGGGAAATGCTTTTCATCATTTTTATGCCCCCGCCGTAGCGGTGGGGGCATTAAGTTTTACCCTTGTGCGTCTGTACGTACGTATGTCCCAAAATTGATTTCCGTTCTCTAACTTGAGTTTGCCTCAACCAAATGTTATGAAACTTATACACAATGCTTATTACCACAAAACACAGATCAATTTTGATCTTTGGTGGCATCACTTTAACCGTTTTAGAGTTATGCCCCTTTATAAATGGAAAAATTGCAAAGTTTTTAGTTTCTGTTCTCTAACTTAAGTTTGCCTCAACCAAATGTTATGAAACTTATACGCAATGCTTATTTCCTCAAAACACAGATCAAGTTTGAATTTTGTTGGCGTCACTTTAACTGTTCTAGAGTTATGCCCTTTATAAATGGAAAAATTGCTAAATTTTTATTTACTTCTAAATATCAAGTAATTTTTGTGGTCGTATATTGGTATGACGTTGGCGTTGTCGTTGTCGTCCAACGTCGTCGTCGTCCGAAGACGCATAAGTTTTCGCACTCTAACTTTAGTTTAAGTGAATGGATCTCAATGAAATTTTACCATAAGGTTCAATACCACAAAAGGAAGGTGGGGATTGATTTTGGGGGTTATGGTACCCACAGTTAAGGAATTAGGGGCCAAAAATAAGCATTTTTGTAACTTCCAGACATAACTTGTGTGTAAGTGTATGGATCTCTCTGACATTGTACCACAAGGTTCCATATCACAAAGGGAATGCTGGGATTGATTTGGGGGTAATTGCCTCCAAATTTTAGGAATTAGGGGCCAAAAAGGGGCGAAAAACAGGCATTTTTCTAGTTTCATGACAATAACTTGTGTGTAGGTGTATGGATCTTTATGAAATTGTACTACAAGGTTTCATATCACAAAGGAAAAGCTGGAATTGAGTTTGGGGGTAATTGCCCAAAAAGTTTAGGAATAAGGGGCCAAAAAGGGTCCAAAAATTAGCATTTTTCTAGTTTCCAGACAATAACATGTGTTCAAATTTATGGATCTCTCTGAAATTGTACTGCAAGGTACCATACCACAAAGGGAAGGCTGAGATTGATTTTGGGGGTAATTCCCTCAAAATTTTAGTAATTAGTAGCCATAAAAGGGCAAAAAAACAAGCATTTTCTAGTTTCAGGACAATAACTTGTGTGTAAGTGTATGGATCTTTATGAAATTGTACTGCAAGGTTCCATATCACAAAGGGAAAGCTGGGTTTGAGTTTGGGGGTAATTGCCCTAAACGTTTAGGAATTTGGGGCCAAAAAATAAGCATTTTTCTAGTTTCCAGACAATAACTTGTGTTCAAGTGTATGGATCTCTCTGAAATTGTACTGCAAGGTACCATACCACAAAGGGAAGGCTGGGATTGATTTTGGGGGTAATTCCCTGAAAATTTTAGTAATTAGGGGCCATAAAAGGGCAAAAAAACAAGTATTTTTTCTAGTTTCAGGACAATAACTTGTGTGTAAGTGTATGGATCTTTATGAAATTGTACTGCAAGGTTCCATATCACATAGAGAAAGCTGGGTTTGAGTTTGGGGGTAATTGCCCTAAATGTTTAGGAATTTGGGGCCAAAAAGGGGCCAAAAAACAAGCATTTTTCTAGTTTCCAGACAATAACTTGTGTTCAAGTGTATGGATCTCTCTGAAATTGTACTGCAAGGTACCATACCAAAAGAGAAAGCTGGGATTGAGTTTGGGGGTGATGAATCATAAGGGGGTTCAAAAAATTGGGGGGATTTTTTTTTCCTTTTTTTTCTTTAAAATTTTCCGTTTTAAATTGGTTATTTCTGATTTATATATAAAAGCAAATAATAATGATATGGTTTGAATAGGTAAATTAAAAAATTTTAAGTTCTTAGACCACTTTCATTCTGTTAGAGAAACCTATGCTGTGTCAAATATTTAATTACAATCCAAATTCAGTGCTGTATCAAGCTTGAATGTTGTGTCCATACTTGCCCCAACTGTTCAGGGTTCGACCTCTGCGGTCGTATCAAGCTGAGCCCCAGCGGAGCATTTTATTAAAATTGGAGTTATCTTCCTTTGTCCATGATTATAGTTGAATCAACTACAATCAATGCTTTATACAATGCAATGTTTAATTTTGACTTCCACTGATAAAACACAGATCAAGTTGAATTTGGGTAGTGTCACTTTAACCATTATTGAGTTATGCCCTTTATAAATCGAAAGAGTGCAAAATTTTTAGTTTCCATTCTGTAACTTAAGTTTGCCCCAACCAAACATTATGAAACCTATACACAATATTCATTACCACAAAACTAAGATCAAGTACAAATTTTTTGTTTCCATTTTCTAACTTCAGTTTGCCTCAACCAAATGTTATGAAACTTATACACAATGCTTATTACTACATAATACAGATTAAGTACGAAATTTGGTGGCGACACTTTTACCATTCTTGAGTTATGTCCCTTTATAAACATAAAAATTGCTGAATTTTTTAGTTTGTCTCAACCAAATGTTATAAAACTTATACAGAACCGTTCTAGAGTTATGCATGTTTACAAATAGAAAAATTGCTGAATTTTTAGTTTCTGTTCTCTACTTAAGTTAGCCTCAATCAAATGTTATGAGACTTACACACAATGCTTATTACCACAAAACTCAGATCAAGTTCAAATTTAGGTAGCGTCACTTTTACCGTTCTTCAGTTATGTCCCTTTATAACTATATGATATGCAAGCGGGGGCATCATCTGTGTCCACATGTGGACACTATCCACATTTATTTGTTTTTGTTTCTTTTTTAATTGCTTTGAATTAGGGTTAGTGATGTGGTGTATCTTGTTTTGTTGTTCTGCATTGTTGATTTAAAAAAAAAAGAAATGAATAAATCAAATAAGACAGTAACCCAACAACACCAAAAAATCTACATAGGGTCTCAAACGATGGACATTCGCCTCAATCCTATATAGGTTGTGGAGCAATTCATTTTTGGGGGAAACGCTTTTCTTTTTTAATTGCTTTGAATTAGGGTTAGTGATGTGGTGTATCTTGTTTTGTTGTTCTGCATTGTTGATTTAATTGCTATCTTTTCTTGTATAAGGGAGCTACCATTTGATTTTTATAGGGGGGGGGGGGGCTAGGATGAAATTTGAAAAAAATAGGCAGGACAGGAGTTTTGAGTAAAAAAAAAGGCAGGATGACACACTTTGCAAAAAAAAAGGCAGGATGACACACTTTGCAAAAAAAAAAGGCAAGATGACAATTCATGTAAAAAAAAGTCAGGATAAACTATAAAAAAAAAAAAAGGCAGGACTGAATAGAGTGAAAAATAAAAAGGCAGGACAGAGATTACAACTAAAAAAAAAGGCAGGACAAAACTTTTCATCCTAGCCCCCCCTCCCCCATAAAAATCAAATGGCAGCTCCCTAATGGATAGAAAACATAAGAGAAACCACATGGGACAATCAAGTACTGACAACAATATGGAAACCTGGAAACTAGACATAGAAACTTGGATACACTTTATTTTTATGTAACACCTGACAAAATCACTCACTATACAAAGCCTTTCTCACCTGATTACAATACAGAAGTATGTTGGTGGTGTTAACGTTGGAAAAGCATTACAATATGCTCTCCTACACTTCAATATCAATAAATATGAATTGGTGTGAAAAAAAACTGGCGGAAAAACAGAACATGGATATAGTATAATACTATTTGTACCGTGTTTTTTTCAAGCTAGTTGCAGTCATGTCCTAAGATTTCTAAAAATCAATGTGTCCACAGTGCTTTGGATATCATGCCGCTTAATTCTTCCCTTCAAATTTATCTTATAATAGTACAATTTAGAATATTATCACTCATTCAGTATAATGTTTTAAGCATTACTATAATTGAAAACATTAACATCGACATGTATTTATAATCATTCATACTAAAGGAATGTTGAAAATTAAGAGTAACTCTTAGTTATATAAGTAGATTTTAAAGCATTGCTTTGTCAAAATAACTGAAAAATCATTATTCTCTGTTCTTTTTATACGACCGCAAAGTCGTATATTAGTACGACGTTGGCGTCGTCGTCTGAAGACACATTGGTTTTCGCACAATAACTTTAGTTTAAGTGAATGGATCTCTATGAAATTTTACCATAAGGTTCAATACCACAAAAGGAAGGTTGGGATTGATTTTGGGGTTTATGGTACTAACAGTTGAGGAATTATGGGCCAAAAGGGGCCAAAAATAAGCATTTTTCTAGTTTCCAGACAATAACTTGTGGAACGGTGTATGGATGTCTCTGAAATTATACCACAAGTTTCCATACCACAAAGGGATGGTTAGGATTTGCTTTTGGGGGGTTATGGCTCAAACCGTTTAGGAATTAGGGGCAAAAAAGGGGGAAAAACAAGGGTGTCCTGGTTAAGGGCATAGGATACAATTTCGATCCCATAATGAAATTTTTATGAACATTTGCATACAAGCTATTTTTCACTTAAGCAATTCAAATATGTAATAAAAAATATACCTTCATGTGCTACTTTTAGAGATAAAAGGGGTCGAAATTTAGACATTTACTCAAAATTTTGGGTTTTTTTTGGCATTTCTATCCTTTGGATAGACACACCTAACTTTTTTATTTCAAGAGATAAACACAAGCGGATTTTTGTAGAAACATTATAAAAATCTTCTTCTCATAAATATATTCTTAATATGAACAAATGTTCTTTTGAAGTAATTTATTTTTAACAAAGTTTCAGGATTTTAGAAAATAAACGGCATGTTTTGCGTTATATTTATCAAATTTAAAAAGATTCCAATATTGACTTTTTCATTATAATTGGTACAAATAATCTTCATACGTATTCAAACCTAATGTCATTTTAAAAAAGAGGGGTCCATGTACTCGTTTTCGAGTTAAATAAGTTTGAATGATAAAAATCAGTCGAAAAATGCATCTTTTCCCGATATATCACAGTTTGACGTCGCGAAAATAACATTTTACGTTAGCAACGTCATTACCTCCCCTGTAACTGTATCGTATGCCCTTAATGGACAAATACGTTAGTACAAAACATAATTTAAAGCAGTGTAAGGGAGGTAATTCAAATACATCATTTGAATTACCTCCCTTACACTGCTTTTAAATTATGTATAAAGTAATGATTAATGAACAATTAAGACAATTTAAAAGCAATGTAAGGGAGGTTATCCAAATACAACGTTTTGATTACTTCCCTTACGCTGCTTTTAAATTATGTTTAAAGAAATGCATATTTATAAAGGAAGACCAGTAAAAATATCTGTAAATGTTGCATCTTTTTTTTTACAAAAAAATCCATATGAAAGATTTGACACCATATTTTAAATTCTATTATAAAATAGATTAAGTTAGCACTATGGTAAATTTAAATGGGTAATTATGGTTGCAAACTCCATTGGAAATTTTGATTGAGATTATGACCATATCTTGAGGGAAAGAATTTTTTTGGGGGAAAAAGGGGGGGGGGGGGTTAAAAGAAATTTCAGATTTCAGAAATTAAAAAGAAAAATTCTTCAACTATTATTTTTTTTGCAAAAAAAAAGTGTGTGTGTGTGTGGGGGGGGGGGTTAATACGCAACAGCATAGTGAATTGCACAAAAGCAAAAAAAAAAAGGGGGGTAAATTTTTTATTTATTTTTTTTTGTGGGGAGAGGGGGGTCAATTCGCAACAGCAAAGTGTATTGCACAAAAGCAAAAAAATTGAATATAAATTCAAATCATATTACCAATTCTAAGTTCTTTGACTACAGTTATTCTGTGTCAGAAACCTTTTATGTGTCAAATGTTTAATTACAATCCAAATTCAGACCTGTATCAGGCGCGAATATTGCGTCCATTTTTGCCCCTGGAACTGTTCAGGGTTGGACCTCTGCGGTCGTATCCAGCTGCGCTCGGCGAAGCAATTTATTATTTTTATTTATGATGAAAAAGATACTTTCTTTTACACATTCATCTGGTTGTTTAGGTTTATCTACTGGCCAAACACCTGATTATCTAAGATATCATTGATATGTAATAGAGAGAAACTTTTAATAGCAAAAATGAAAAGCAAGACAAGATCTACAAAGAGATCAGATGGTGGAAATCGTTAGTCGAATCGTTATTAGAGTTTTAGCTCATGGAGTTTTTACCAATTTTTGGTGTTTTTTTGCCAATTATCTTGAAAACTATACAAGATAGATAAACAACTTCAAACCAGCAAGACAAGATCTACAAACAAGTCAGTTTTTGACGAAATAGTAAGTGGACTTTTTATTAGGAGTGATCGCCCTTAAATGACGACTGGTTTACCCTCTTTTGTGTTTTTGGTAAAAACTAAAGAAGATGGAGAGAAAATATAAACAGAAAATGGTCAGCAATGCAAGATCAACAAAAAAGTTTGTCATGAATATATTCAAGTCTACAATGATGGAGAATGCCCATTGTTGAAGAAGCACATAGACCCAGATGTCATGAGCAACACATGCTCTTTGGAGCATCTAATTTTTTTTTAACTGTTATGTATTTCCAAAATTGTATGCTATATTCCTGGATATTTCCTTTTCTTTTTTCATCATACTTGTGTGATTTTGTTATTTCAGCCTTTATTGATTTTCGTAGTTCTCGCCATTTTTGTCTTGCCATAGACGAAACTCACAGAATGCGAGACGTAGAGATTACAATCTGGCACCGATGACATAAACTATATGTATAAAGCTCTATATTTCATTAGCAAGAAGACCTGGAAGCTTCATACCTTGTATGCAGATATTGTATGCTACGAAGTTTCCGTCTGTCATATGTCCATTTTCCTCGACCTCATTTTCATGGTTCAGTGACTGCTTGAAAAAAAAATTACTGTTTTTTTGAATAGTGAAATACTCTCTCATTATTTGTGATAGGATACCTATATTTGGTATATGGGTTCCTTGCAAGGTCTACTTGCTGTCATGTAGGATGGATTCACCGGACCTTAGCCTCATTTCATGGATCAGTGATCAAGGTAACTGGTTAAAGTTACATGGTCAAGTCCGTATCTCAGATACTATAAGCAGTAGGTCAACTATATTTGGCGTATGTAATGATTGTAAGGTGTACATGTCCAACTCGTAGGTTTCATCTGACCTTGACCTCATTTTCATGATTCATTGGAAAATGTTTGGTTTTTGTGGTTTGGTCTGTTTCTGAAATATTATAAGCAATAGGTCAATTATATTTGCTGTATGGAACGATTTTATGGTGTACATGGATGTCTAGCAGGGTTCATATGATCTTGACCTCATTTTCATGGTTCATTAGTCAGTGTTTAGATTTTGTGGTTTGATTTGTTTTTCCGGTACTATTAGCGATAGAACCATTAAATTTGGTGTATGAAATTATTGTAAGATATACCTGGGACATAATATATTAGTATAATAGTCCCAGGGTGTACATGTCTGATCTGACCTTGGACCTCATTTCATAGTTTTTAAGTTTATGTGATACTTGTAGTAAATCCTTCATATTGCAGAATTTCAACATAGATTGAATGATAAGTAAATCAGGCGAGACATTTCAGCGTATGCACTCTTGTTTTCTCAAATTCCGTCCGTTTGAATATCTCTTTCCGTTTCCGTTCCGTATTCCGTTAAGCAACACTCCCAAAGAGCTTGTTTATGGTATCCATGCCCACCGTCATTTTACATCAAATTTATGAAAATTTGGAAGTCTTTTCGAACAAAGATTTGTATAGTAAGTCTTACTATACAAATTCTTGTTTCGAATAATTCTAAAGAAAATATTTCAATGTGTTTCAAAAGTTATATTTTAAATATACACACTACAGTTATTCATACTGAATAAATAAAAAAATATATTATATCCTTAGGCCTTACGTCCAATCGTAAGCGGACAGAAAGTCACAGGACAAAAAGTCACAAATTATTTGTTTATAATTGTTTAAATTTTAAGACGAAGTTCTTGAAATAATTTCTTTTTATCACAAATATTCATTTTACAGTTTAGGAAATTGTTCATAAGCCTTGATAAATGAAGATGTACTAGTCAAATTTTAATCATGCAAAGGATATAATTATAATTATATATTTCTTGGCACCATGAAGCCATTTAAGTACAAAGCCACTTTGACAAACTGTTTGCTTAACAATCATTTGATTATTATTGACTTTTTTTTATAAATTTTGTTTACGAAGTGTCTTTATATATATAATAGTTCAAGAAAAATACAAAAATGTTTTTAAAAATAAGTGTTTTCTTATCCAAAGAAAAACAAATTTAAAACTGAATTGTTACTTTTTGTCCTACATTCCATCCAATCACAGTGCTTCTACCATCACCTGTCGTGGATACACGAAAGGCCAACCTAAATCATGTAAAATGATTTACAATTTTTTTTCCTTAAATAGTGTCGAGTATAAAAAATTGTGAAGTCAAAACAGCAATTATCAAAGATCTGCATTAAAACCAAATTCTTTAGACAACAAATAGATTTGAAACAACCACTGACAAGGTCTTGACTATAGACAGGCACATGAACATGTGGTAGGTTTAAACTAGTTTTTTTTTTTTTTTTTTTATTTCAACCCTCCCCATTTTAGCTTAAATAGCCTTAAAGGTCATGTGATCTTTTGCCATCAATTGGCATTCATCATCATCTGTTTTCTGTCTTCGTGGCGAATAATTTTTTCAAAGACCTCCGCTGAAAATACTGAACCAACAATTGTTTGCATCCTATTTCAGCCAAACTTGGCCTGAATCCTTAGGGTATCAAGTATAAAGATCTTATTTTTATTCTGGCCAGGCATCAAACATATTATAAAGTAGAACATATGGGTAAAATGAAGCAATTGTCTTTTATCCTGAAAACTATATTAGACCGAGAAAATCTGACAGAGTAAACATTTTTAGAATGTCGAGAAATACATAGTTTAAGTTTCTATTTTCACCAAACATTATCAGATGATTCCTTAAGGAGTGACAGCCATTACATGGTGAATTTTCGGATCATTCGCCCCAAATTTGTCTTCCTTTTTAAACTATGGCGGTCATGTTGTTGACTAATCGCAGAAAACACTAACTACATGTATACTAGATATCCTAAGAACCATTCACCTCAAGTTTGGTTGAAATTGGTTCAGTAGCTTCCGAGGAGATCTTTGAAAAAGTTTACGACGACGACGACCGACACCAAGTAATGGCAATAGCTCGTATGACCCCATGGGCCACGTGAGCTGGGGAAAAATAATACCCTATTATTTGTTCTAGTTTTTCAATAGTTTTCTATATGTAGTTTGATTAAGGTTCACAATTTATGGATTTCCACTTTTCCATTTGACCCCGAAGATGAATCCACCATGTAATTCAGAACAATAGACCGGTATGTTAGTAAAGTATGTGCTCGCTTCTATAGGAATACTGTTAGAATGATATTTTACTTGTGTTTTTTTTTTTGGTTTGGTGTTTTGTTGAATATGTGGGACATACACACAATCTTTAAACAACGGAACGTGAACAAAAACAACTTCAAACAACAGCATTTCTAACTAAGAATTTGGATCTTGAACAAATTTAATATGACTCAATTTTTTAAATTATTATCATAAATGGAGTTTTCTTCTGTATAGTCTCTGTATGTTTGAGTTGATGTTGATGTTATAATTGCTGAATCTCCGTTCTCTTCATTAACATCTAGTGTAATAGCTGAAGGTTGACCTTCATCGTAAGCTTCATTATCATGCGCAGGACACTGTGTGGGGAAACTTACTTCAGAGGGTGTTGCGTAAGTTGGATCGTCATTAATTGAAAAATTACAAGTTTGTTTAATATCTCCGTTCTCTTCATTAACCTCGGCTGTATCAGTTGAAGGTTGACCTTCATCGTAAGCTTCATTATCATGCGCAGGACACGGTGTACGGATGCTTACTTCAGAGGGTGTTGCGTAAGTTGGATCGTCGCTGATTGAATCATTACAAGTTTGTTCAATATCACACGATTTTTTCTGTGTTTCATCTCTGCTTCTAGACTTTCTTCTGTAAACACACAATACACTTTGAATGAATTACCGAGAGTTAAAATGTTAATGTTTCAATTTTACCACTTAATCTTATGGATGTTCATAAAAGCTTAGATATCGGTAAAACTAGATCAAATTAATATTTAAGATATTAAACATCTATGCAATGAACCATAACTCTTCGTTTGAAACTCGCTGAAAACAAGACAGAATTGGCATCTTATATTTTCTTTCGATATTAATATTAGACCAAACTCATACCTATTTCATGAAAATATATCTCGATTTTCTTAAATAAACTACATCTAGTACCCTCGAGGCCAATAGTTTGGAAAGCAACGCTATATGTGTGACTACTTTAGTCTCAGGCTATATGTGTGACTACTATAGTCTCAGGCTATATGTGTGACTACTATAGTCTCAGGCTATATGTGTGACTACTATAGTCTCAGGCTATATGTGTGACTACTATAGTCTCAGGCTATATGTGTAAATATTCGGCGGATGACTAATTGACCATTAGCTATATTGTTAATCACTGTATACTTGAGGCATAAATCAGATGAATAGGTTATTAAAATTTCAGTTAATGTTAACAGCATTTAGTGAAATTAGGCAATATTTCAAGTCAACATTACGGGATAACGAAATCAATTTGATGCATGCAGCATATGCGCATTTCGATCTCATTTTTTTACTTTTGTCTGTGCGTTAAGACTAATGCTTAAAGGTTGTAAGGCATCGGATTATTATCATTAAGGATTAGAATATTAATCAAGACAAATTATCTAAGCATGAAGACTTAATTACGATCATAAAAAAGTTAAAACTGTAAACAGAATATGCGCCATTTAAAACTATTCCGTTGTAAAACTATTTAGTTATATAACACTCTTATTGAACCAAAAAAGTTTTTGGAACCCTGAGTAGTAACAATATCAAAGAATTTTATTTGTAATTGACCAATTAGAATCAAAGTTGGTCTAATGGCAATTGTTTTTAATTATACTGGAATCAAAAGGAGATAATTTGTAGAATACCCGTTCATCATTCCTACAAAGTTTAGTTAAAAGTAGCTATGTAGATTTAGAAAAGATGATAACACGTGATGTAACATAGGGTTTTGATAAGAAGTAAGCGCCACCTATACCTGATGAACATGAGAAGTGTTTGAAGTTGGTAGTAAAATCATCGACGACTTAACATTTTAAAATAATTTGCTTTTAGTTTCAGAGAAGACGATTTTTGAAAATTGGCTAAAAAGAAACTGACTTGTGTGGCCATGTTTTCCGTCCAATCTTAACGAAATGAGGCATTCCATAAAGGCCTCCAAATACGTTATTCTTGCAAATTTTAGTTCAAATAAGTCCGATGGTTTCAGAGGAGATAGTCGGACTGTTTAATGACAGACGAAAATGATGACTATAGCTCACATAACCATATAGACCAGGTCAGCTAAGATATATATAATCCCAGAATAAGTTAGGTTAGCCAGTGCTTTAATTGATGCTCTCATGCTTGAACTAAAATTTGAGATAAGAAATTATGTAATTGTACAAAAACTGAACTTGTAATTTCATCAAGTAAAGCTGACGGAAGACGATTTTGTCTGTGTAACTGAATTAAGTCGGATTGTAACTCCGCAAGTCAAAGTTGCCTGACTTGAGATGGTTAATGCTGATCTGTTTAGGCCATTTTAAATTGGGGTCTGTGTCCTAATTTGCTTATGTATGGCTTGTAATATTATATTAAATAAAGGCTGTATCAGAAACGCTAGTTGACTTTCGGTATCATACATAAAAAAACAAACTTCAGATGTAATTTTTAACTAAGTTGTCTTCCCTTTAAAATTGTCATGAGTATTTGTATGCCATTGTTAAATTGTTTTCGTCAATATGTAAACTATAATCGATTTATTTGTGGTAGTTTTCATTCGTTTACTTACTTTTTTACATACAATACGAAACATGTAAAACAGCAAAATGCTATCAATCCAGTCCCTGTTCCTCCTATGATATATGCTAGCCTTTCTCCTGCAAAAACAGATGTAATAACTATGATGAAGCTAAAAGTTAATCAAATATAAACTATCTAATAAAGACGAAGACAAATCTGGAAACATAACTAATGTAATGAAGAAAAAACTTACTCGAGGCTGCAAGGAAATTGTATCGCAATTACCCTAAGAATATAGTATACGTCTAGAATTAACATTTTTTCCCAATAAAAGATTTCAATCGGGATTCTTTAAACTTTTGAAGCCTATTGTCTTTTTCAAGAGCGTACATAAACATTTTTGAAGGTTGAATACAGTACTTCTTGTAGAGTTGTGTGTTTTGTGTTTTGCCAAGGGGCAAACATTCAGTAATACTTAATATTAATCTCATACAAGAGGAATGTTTATCGTACCAAACAACCTTCAACACATAATATTTATTTTTTAGATTTCGAAGCTAAGGTTTGAATATGCAAGCTATCGCTAATTGTTCAAGTAATGATCATTTATTGTGATTTTCCTAAATAAAGGATTGGCCCTATAATTCATTGTATCTAAAACTTTTTCACATTTTCAGAATTAATCTAATCTATGTACTTTAATAAAACATTAGGGTCTTAGTTTAAATATTTGCCACGCATGAGTAATAAGGCAGTGAGCCTCCTCATGGGGTTTTTGATTATGTGATTACTTGGCCATTTTTATAGTGATTATTTGATTAAAAATAATTAATGCTTATGTGATTATATTGGCAAAACATTTGTGATTATGTGATTACTTGGCTACCCCCATGAGGGGCCTCGGTAGTCAATAGGCAGTAAATTAGGAAAAAATGGCAAATTTGCCGAAAATCTGACATACAGATGCACAGGCTAAGATATAATATAGTTCACAAGCCTCGCCCAAAAAGATATTTACATAGGATGTTTATCTATTTGTTTAGAAAAAAATGTTTTGGGCGAAGCATGTGCTCTACTAGTTAAGCCAAAATGATTTGTAAGTCGGAACTATGACGTCACTTTAATGACATTACAAACACTTTGCGTCATCAAGACTTATCTCATAATGGTCTTCATTTCGTTAAGTTAAATAAGTAACCGATATTTGTTTCATTAAATCATTGTATTGTCGGCAAATTTACAGTGCCACTAAATCTTACCGTGTCCTTAGCCAACTCTTATGGACTTATATATGATCATATATATGTGTTAATATCTTTATACCGAGCGAATGCGAGGTGTTTTTAAAAAGTTGAAACAAATAAAGCACACATGTTAAATTTACCTGAAACAATCAGTGTTTTAAACGAAGACTGAACAATGGAAGGGGGAGCAAACTTGTGAAAGTGACATGACAAAAACAACCCAAAAAAAAACGTCTAAATAGTTTAGTAGAAGTAAGTCAGTGTCCCTTTCATTTTTATTTATTATTTTCAATAATTTTGTTTGAAATGAGGGGTGAAAACATTGTTGCATGCAGATGCAAAGCAACATTTATGACAATATAAAATGTATTTTTATTTGCTTCGAAATAAGATCAAATCTCTGTCAGCCTCTCTTTTCTTTCATTTTCTAAAGCTCTAAATAAATGTTATATTTTCGGACATTATACGTAACTGTATTGTATATATATTCAATGAAAAATGCTATAAATTTCCAGCAAAATTGTAATCAATAAAGTTTACTGATTGATTTTAATCATCCTAGACGACTTCGACCTTGCACTATTACGAAGTTTTCTAATTTGCTTTTTAGTTTTGTGTGTGGCCAGTTTAGCTTCCCGTTAGTTAGTAATAAGTACCTTATCATACTTTCGATATAAGACAATTCTATTAATAAAATTCAGATCCTTTAACCATGCTTCGCTTAATATGTTGTAAACGAAGAGTCCACACAGGCTCTGTATTTCAATCAGATTGGATAGATAATGCATTTCTTTTACCTTTTGATGAATTCCTTTTCGAATCAGTCTCAGCTATAAGTCGTGGTGATGGCGGTGGATCGATATCAATTTCTATCTTGGCTTCCTCATCAGTCATCCTCAAGGACTGTTTATTACCGATAAATTGGACCGACGATGGAAGGCGGGGTCCGTCAGTTGTTGCTTGTACTTTTTGGGTTTTGGACTGAGAAACATGTATTGGATCAGCCTGAATATTCGAGTCACTAGTTTGAACGTTTTTCTTCTGATTTTGAACTGATGTCCATGGTATAAAACCGTTCTTAATTTTAGGTTTCGCGTTTGTTTGTGTCCATGGAATAAAACCAGGACTTCTGTCAACTGCCATGGTTCTTGGATCTGATTGAGATGATGTAACTTTAGTAACTGTCTGTTGTCTTGTAGGATTTGTAACACCTAACTGACCTGCAGATGGAGAACTGTGTGCTTCGTTTGTGAAAGAAAACCTTCTCGGATCACGGGGCGATTGCAAAGGAATATCGTTGATATTCCTTGGGTTTGTAGAAGATTGACTTGGCCATGGACGGTTTGTAGATGTGCCTCGATTTGTGTTATCCCTAGGTGAACCGCTAACAGCTGTTTTTCGACTGTTCCATTTATTTGAATTATTTGTGTTTCCGGTTCCCCAAGGATTGGCATTGTTTATGTTTTGTGGTGACTGCTGTTGCCATCCATGAAAATGTGGGTTACCAAATTGAGGAACAAGCGCTCCCCATGGTGTTAAGGGAGATCCTACAAATGATGGCATTGCTGGATGGTTATTCCAAACGGATTGTCGACTACCCGATCTATCATTAAAACTCCCACGAAATGATTTGAACCCTTGAAAAGATTGAGAAGATTCTGGTTGAACATCATCACCTTCATCGTCAGCTGTTCTAACTGGTCCACATTGCATTTTTATTTCCGCACCTTCATCTAATGGGGGAACTAATAAAAGCAGTAAAAGATTATCAATCTTAAATATTTAGAAATCTATATGTTGATAACCTAATGAAATTGTAAAACTTCAAATGATATTTTTAACAAGGATCAAAGACAGTGTCTGGTATAAATACTTCAAATATATGACAAAAACATATATCCTAACAGATTCTACGTTGAAATCTTACTCTTTGTATATTCCAGTATTCAAATCTGTAAAAATCAGTTGCATGGGTCGTGGACATAATAACATTCAACGGTTTGTCTTATGTTAATTGTTCCGCTTCCAAAAAAAAAGCTGGTAGCCACCAAGGGGGTTATAAAAAATGTTTATGCTGAAGAAACAAAGACACAACATCCAAAGAAAAAAACCCACTAAAAACAAACAACAGTCAACCAAGCATTTCCCTACACTAACACTTGAGCAACAAGTACACCAACCAAAAATCAGGGACAATTTTAGGAGGGTAATTAGTTTCTTTCCACTAGTGGTACCCGTAATGTTACTCATGACAAATGAAAAAAAAATGGTTATAAGTTGTATTAATTTGTAAGTCAAAGAGAGGAAAATGAACGTTGATATGAAAGTTTTGACATCTGAAGTTTCAGTATCAGATAGCTTCTACAGTTTAAATTTCAGTGAGCTTATCGCAGGGCCTGAACAAGAAAACAGACAAAGCAGAATCTAAGGAGGGAGTAGAGAAAAATTGTTATGCCTTTGGTATTGGAATTAAAACCTGTTCATATCCCCATTTTTTATTTTTTTTAACTTGTCCTTATTGCGAATCTACAGATACTTTTTTGTCATTTCACACATGCGCCTTAAACTCCTGACACAAGAAATAAATTAATAGTTATATGTAATTAATGTAATTTTTCTTCTTGTATTCAGATGCGTCTACTTGTATTTTCAATTGGGAATTCTGATTCTTTTAAGAAGCCAAAACTGCAAATTTGCATTTTGCTTGCAATCTTTCTTTTTTGAAAAAAAGCATTAACAAAATTACCAAACTCCAAGGTAAATACAGAGAGGTTTAAGTCCATACCTTACTCAGTGTATATAAAGTGCTAATCCAGTTAGTTCATTTTCACTGTTGTATGCGAGTATGTCTATTGTAGAATAAAAACTGCGTTGGTTTACTTTTTGAAAATACAAAATAATAGATTTGAATGTGTGTTTTAACAGAATTTCATTAGAATATAACTTTTTAATGTATAATAACAGGATTAATGTCCACAAAAGTGTTATTTAAGCAGCAGAATCCATAATATTGATTACTGAATGCGATTCATTTTAACTAATAGATGCGATGAATTATCACTGTAAGTGCAATCATTTCTGATGTGGAATTTTTGGAAGTGCGATGAATTTTCATTGTCGTTTTATATGATTATTTGACATACAACAACTGAAAATAGTTTTTAAATGACTTTAATATTGATGATATTTACAATTTGAAATGCAAGCTAATCGTAGATGCTTACTTGAATATCCACGGGTATAACCACGTTCATATCATGAATATTCAAATATTGTTGGTGAGTTTGCTATTAGCTTGTCATGGATCCGAAAATTTACTGGAGCAGAACATCCATGAACATAACGTTTTTCTACGACGAATTTTCTTTGAAAAGTTTTATAACTCGCTTAAAAAAGCTTTGAACATTTGTCACGCCGTGTCATACATATTTCTTCTGTATTGATAGGTTTTTGCACAACGAATAGTACAAGAATGTACAACGAACGGTACTAAAGAAAGAAAACAAACTACAAAGAGAACGAATCGTACAGTGTCAAAATTCTGAGGTCAGTTTTTCAAGTAAATGTCTTCAAATTAAATTAAAACAACGGGTTTCTCATTCGTATTATGTACATGTATTTTAACAACAACAAAGCACAAAATACACGGTCGCATTTAGTGAAAGAGCCAACCAACTATGCTCTATTTGTCGTTTAATCAAGTTTGAGTTACACATAGTGTTTGTTTCGCGATGTTTACAAATAATTCACAGACCTGTCTATTTAAAATAGTCACATGGTGTTCATGTAATATAAATGATATACAATGCTGCCAGGAGCAGTAAACTTTGTTTTCATAAAAATTGAATACTTAACTGAACAGTTAGTCAATTAGTTTTTGGTGTAAATATAAGAACGGTATATCTACCAACATTGCTTCGCGATGTAGCGATTAACGTCCGGAATCAACTGTACGGCGGTTATACCCCGTGGTATAGAACCATTTAAACATGTAACAATAAACTGTTTTCAATATTTCTTTGTATTCTCACAATTGCGTATTGGCTTATTTGTAACACCGACTTATAAGAAATTCAAGCATATTTAAGGTGACTCGACTGTTGCTCGAACTTTCTTTACTGTATAAGATTTATACACAATGGCATGATCAATATCAATTATCCAGTCATCCAAGCGTCAATTGTTTGTGCAAGATGAAAACGTTTCCACTCATTCAATCGTGAAATGAAGATCGTTTTGTGAATGCTCTTTGTTATCTCAAATGCATCCATTAGAGCTATTTTCCCAACGCTTGTAGTTTAAAGGTTTGGTTGGCTTGCTTGCTTTGTTTGTATAAACGTTTGCTCAATCTTAATTACAATGCTTAGGCAACATTTACACAATCAAGGCCAACCACACCTTTTAACTACAAGCATTAGGAAATTAGCTCTAATGACGTTTAATATATTAGTATGCGATGTAGATTTAGACCGAAACTGAAACTTTGCTTTTCCGGTGACGTGGATTGGCTTAACTGTCCAAGATATATATATTTAATGATGACGTGTCATAGGAAAGAATAAATTTTATCCTACATATAATTCAGGACAACTTATTTGAGAAAATAGAATTGACTATATTAGCAATAAATACCATGTGTAAGGAATTAATTGATATATTACCTCAGACTTTCACTCACTAAGTATGCATACGGTATATAATCAATCCTTCTGACTTCATAAATTTTGTTAGAGTCGGCTGAATTAAGACTTTATATAATGAAATTTAATTAATTTCCTTCTGTGAAAATGCATCGCATATACAATAGAAATGAATCGCCCTACAGTGAAAATGAAAGTCTAGTATCATTATTCGACAGTAAACATGAATCGCATAACGAAAACAACATAGTGGAATTTGATTCAATATCAACAAGCTGAATAACAAAACCTGTTTTAAGTTAAACAACATTAATAATTATGTTAAAAGGTACATTTTTCTGCAAATGAAACTTAACTGCTACTTTTAAATCTCTTGCACGCTCTGTTCGTGAACTATTCTTAATATTTATCTATTTGTGTATCAATTTTGCACCTGGATGGCTGTAGGCGCGATGAAAACCCGTCCGCATCTCATACCTATATCATGAATTTATAAAAACAGTACACATTATATATTATTTCTTATTTTATTCAAAAATCTTGAATTTGTCGTCTGTTTATTTATCATTCTACATCAGAAATTCATCACGGATACAGTAAAAATGACATTTTAGGATTCGCACATTACATACACTGTTAACTGACTACACTCAAACATAACTTTACATTAACCAACGGAACGAATGGAAAACAACTGTCATTTTCCTGATTCGGTTCATACATTTTCCGCAGAAAATTGTGGATTAAACCGGGTTTACTAGTTAGCTAAGCCTCCCACTTTTATGACAGTCGTTTATAGTTCCGTTATATTGACAAAATTGGTTGATCGACCCCAACAGAAAACAGGTTTATGTGACAATATCAGTAGGAATCCAACAGAAATGAACTTGAAAATGTTTTAAAAAAACTTACGTCACAAGAATTTAAGCATGGTAGCACCCGTCGTATCTTTTAATAAGGGAGGAATACTAAAACTACGTTTGAAAGGATCGTTATTGTCAGTGCATTACTTAACTGTGTTTCATAAATATTCATTACCTCTAAATTTAGCTAGAAATCCATCATCCTTAGAACCTCCGCTATTCCTGTATGTTAGTCTAACAGAGCCTCGAAACATCTGGTTACTTACAGTACGGCGTCCACATACTTCTACCGTTTTATCAATCGTTGTTTGGTTTGGTAAACGCTTACTTTCAATCAGCACATGATTAGAAGTACATTTATCGCCGTTTGCAAACACATCGGAATGGATATAATCTGCCATTACTTGATCTGTGTACCTTGAATTTATTATGCATTCACAAATTTTCCAATTCCGAGTAGAAGATGTTGGCCCTTTAAATACATTCGGCGATACGACAAATACAGATGTGTCTGCGACCGTCTTGGTAGTTTCACGACATACATCAAATAATGAAGTATCTAAAGAACAAAAGGATTGATATGATAAAATATATCATGTTCTTAAATACTGTTACAAGATGTTTACATTCTACAATATTGCTGTATGTTCAAAGTGTCAGAAAATGTGTAAAGAATGAGTGCAATCTTTTATATCCCTGCATTGAACATATATTGTCTCCTTCGTTCGATGTTACTTAAAGTGCGTAAAACAAACGGGTGTTTCGTGTGATTGTATTAATTTGTTTATTACGAGTATTGATTATATTGAATAAAACTAAGATACCGTGTCTACATTCTATATTGACACTATTTTCCGTTGACCTCCATGGGAACGATATAATTTAGATTTCTATTTTGTTAGTGCTGCATTTTAAAAGAATTTCGTAATGGATTAATCTGACCTGACAAATGTTCAAACGAAAATGTTCCACAATTACAGGCCTCACTGTATATGTTCTTTTTTGACCGGGACCGATTAGGTGGTGTTACATCTGACAAAGTCTATCCAAATTATTTTTGCAAAGAATTCCGCTCAGCCGGTGCTAGGGGCCGTCTTAAACTTGCAATGAGGTGAGAGTTTTTTTGCTCTTGTGTTGAAGGCCTCACTGTGTATGTTCCTTTTTGACCGGGCCCGATTAGGTAGTGTTACATCTAACAAAGTCTATCCAAATTATTTTGCAAAGAATTCCGCTCAGCCGGTGCTAGGGGCCGTCTTAAACTTGCAGTGAGGTGAGAGTTTTTTTGCTCTTGTGTTGAAGGCCTCACTGTGACGTTGAGATGAAGAACAGCAATTAAGGCGCTGTTCCTTTGCTTTTTGTGTTTTTTGCCTTGCATTTTTTTGCTGTGCATATACTGATTTTGTGTCATGGATGGATACCCCATATCCTTTGTTTCTCTATTAATTCGAATAAAACATATACGACGATTCGCTGTTACCCGTATTAGTTTTGGAACGAGCTTGTCTGCCAATTTAAATTATTTTGTATGTATTGATTCACTATTTTTTAAACCCATATAGATATGAAAATATGCTGAATCCTAATCAAAAGTAGTGTCGAAAGGAAATGAAACTATGGGATATATCCGGTTCTGTGAACAATAACTTATTAAAACAAAAAAAACGTATTAAACTTGTTAAAAGTTGTCTGGCCCCCAAACAATTGTATTTTTGTATAATTTTTTGTAATGAAATCATACCGTTCCAAATATTTGAAAAGGTGAACATTTCGAATGTAAAAGCGAAAAGATTTAGTTCTGATCATGTCTGTTGTGTTCTTTCATATGATTGCTAACTATATGTCACCTTACCAAAAATGCATTCATATTCTACATGAACAAAGTCACTCATCATATAACATTTTTGCAGCCATTCAGGAAACGTTTGTATAAAACACGACACTTTTCCATCACACTGGGAAGCAATAGTAGTGTCGGAATACATTTCTTTGTCACAAGATTGATCGGAGTTTGCGCAGGCTCTGAAATGTCCATAGCCATGAATAATTCTTGTCACAAGAATTTTCGAATTTGGTTTGTCACATGATAAGGAACCAGACATGGGTCCTCTTCCAAGTCCAGTTTCCTCTGATGAACCATCCGGAAATCCTCGTCCAATAGAAGTCAAACAAGTGTAACGTGTAAGGCCGTCTGAAATATATGAGGAATGAACTATTATTGTGCACTTTTTGTTGCTTTTATTGTGAAGAAATGTTCAACAAAGCATGTAAAACTGATCGGCTGCTCTTTTTAAGGTAACACGATACCAAATGGCATATCTCCCGATTTCAAAATTTTTTGGCACTCTTGTAATTTGATCCGAGTTACATTGGAATATAAAATAAAAAATGGGGGTCACCATTTTTGTTTTTTTGTAATTTTCATAAGAAAACGTCAATTTTGGCGACGAATTTACATATAGATATAAATGTCCTTTTTTTTACCTATTTTTATTAGATTTTTCAATGAATGGCTATGTTCTTATATACGGAAAAAGACCAAAAAACTAACATAATATGCAGGATTGTATATTGAATCCATGCATGTAAAGAAACACGTGTGTCACCATCCTTGTTTTTTAGATAAATTGCTTCAAAGTTGACCGATACGCTTAGAATTTGACAGAAAACGTGCGACGTTTCTAAATACAGAATAACGTTATTTTTACTCAGAGGTATTGACAAAAATATGTAACGGGATCTGAATAGTGTTTGTTATTTTATTTTCATTTCCTTTGTCGAGTTTTGTAAGTTTCCTACTAATTCAATATAGGTGGCACGGTAGTATTTCCTGGCCCATAGGGATAATGAAAGCCTTTTTAGAATTTTCACCACTTTCTAACACTGCCCAAAATTCTACATACTCAATTACCTGAAGTACTTTCATTATTATATTTAAAAATTATTATAATGAATTATTGTATCTTATTATTAATTTGTCACAGTTTGATTATATGACAAAAAAGATATTTGATTTGGTTGGATTTGATTTTATATAGATCATTCGATTATAAAAATATTAACAGATAAAAAAGAAATTGTATGCACTTTTTGCTTTTACGATTTATGTTTTGTGTGAAAATGAACAAAATTGCTGTGCCGTAGCGAAATGTCCTCATCGATGTGGGACGGTTAGTCACAAGGGATCACTGTCACGGTTACGATATACACAATATGGCCAAACTTCATTAACTCCAGCAAAACATGGTCAACATCATACGGTTAACTACATATGATGGTAAACAATCCTATCAAGTATGAGAGCCTTTTGTAAAATTATTTCAGAAGGATAGCGTTCACAAAGTGTCATTGCGGTAATTGAGTAAAATAAGTCAAAAGTCCAATAACTCCCGTAAAATGGTCAAATAATAATGACGGTATAATGTGGTCAATTACATATGGTATAAACAATCCTGCTAAGTATGAGGGCTTTCTGTCAAACGGTCTCAGAGGATTTGCGTTTACATGGAGTTATTGTGGTACAAAAGTTTAAAAAAAATATGGCCGGAAAAACTCCAATAACACCCATAACAATGGTCAAATAAAAAAAAATGGTATTATATGGTCAACAACACATGACTGCAAACATTCCAACCAAGTTTGAGTTTTTTTTTCCGTCGTATGGTCTCAGAGGAATTGCGTTCATGGGTATGATGAGTTAATTTACAACCAATGGGTCGATGCCACTGCTGGTGGAGGTTTACTCCCTGAGGGTATCACCAGCCCAGTCGTCAACACTTCAGTGTTGACTTTAATTGAATTATCATTCATGGCAAGTTCATAATTATAAATTAATTGTTTACAAAACTTTGAATTTTTTCGAAATACTAAGGATTTTCTATCCCTGGAAAAGATGACCTTGTTTTTCTTTGACTGTTAATGACGTCTTTACACTAAATCTATTGGATTTTGGATGTGTACTGATTGATATTTTAGGCTTAGATGCATGATTTTGTTATTAGTTGCTATTGGCTTTGAAATAGCTGTCAGTAACTGCGAGTACTCTCAGATCTGTACTTAGTGTCTTTTTGTTGTGGGGATGTATAAGTACCCTGCCACGTCCACTCTGTGTTTTTGATAGATGTATGTCTGCTTTGTGTCTATCTGATGTGTAAAGCCCTTTTTTTTTTCTTTTCTTTTTTTGTCGAGCCTGTGACATTTATGTCGCGAAAGCGAGCAATAGCAATTCTAGATTCGGTCGTCGGCGTCGGCGGCGTCAACATTTAGGTTCAGTCTGTGGTTAAAGTTTTTTTAGACATCAATAACTTTGTCAAACCTTCATGGAATTTAATGAAATTTGGACAGAAGCTTGTTTATGGCCAAAATACAGTATCCAGAGCAAAATTTTGAAATATTTTTTTTCATTTTACCGTATTTTACTGATAAATGTATTTAGTTTTTTTTTACAGTTAACATTTAGATTCAGTCTGAGGTTAAAGTTTTTCAGTCAAAAATAACTTTATCAAACCTTCATGGAATCTTTTGAAATTTGGACAGAAGCTTGTTTATGACCAAAATACAGTATCCAGAGCAAAATTTTGAAAATATTTATTTTCATTTTTCCGTATTTTACTGATAAATGGAATTAGTTTTTTTTACAGTTAACAAGTAGATACAGTCTATTGTTAAAGTTTGTTACACATCAATTACTTTGTCAAATATTCATAGAATTTTATGGAACTTTGGCAGAAGCTTTTTTATGATTAAGAGATAATGTCTGAAGCAAACTTTTGAAAAAATATTTTCATTTTCAGTATTTTTCTGATAGATGGACTTAGTTTTTTACAGTTAACATTTACAGACAGACAGTTTGGGATTTTTTTTTTTACATGATTAATTTGTAAACCTTCATGGATTGTTATGAAACTTGGACAGAAGCTTATCTTCAAGAGCAAGAAATAGCATCCAAAGAAAAAGTTTGAAATTTGTTTTCAATTCTGTATTTTACTGATAAATGGACTCACTTTTTAAGTCAACGTTACGCTTTTACACTGACAGCAGCAATCGTAGGCGAGACACAGGGTTCCGTGGAACCCCTTACGAATTTTTATAGTTTGTTCTTATGTTGTACTGTTACACCACTGTCCCGCAGGTTAGGGAGAGGTCTGGCGCCTAGTTTAACCCCGCCACATTCTGTAAGTGCCTGTCCCAAGTCAGGAACATGTAATTCAGTGGTTGTTGTTTGTTGATGTACATCATATTTGTTTTTCGTTCATTATTTTGTACTTAAATCAGGCTGTTAGTTTTCTTGTTTGAATTGTTTTACATTTGTCATTTCGGAACCTTTTATATATATATATAGTTGACTATGCGGTATGGATTTTACTCATTGTTGAAGGTCGCACGGTGACCTGTAGTTGTTAATTTCTGTCACGGTCATTTGGCCTCTTGTGGAGAGTTGTCTTATTTTTATACATACAGAATGTGGTCTGGCAAAACCTTTCGGAATTTTGGATTCTCAATGCTCTTCAACTTCTTACTTTATTTGGCCTTCTTAACTTTTTTGATCCGAGCGTCACCGATGAGTCTTTAGTAGCGTAGAATATTTTTTATCCTGGTGTCTATGATGAGTTTATTCACAAAGTGTCAATGTTACAATACTAAACAAATTGATTAAAGTCTCACAGCCCCGGAAATATGACGGTGAAATATGATTAACTAGATATATATAAGTACGAGGGTATTCTGTCAAACGGTCTCAAGACATCAGCAAAATTTCGAAAGTACGTTTTTTAATCTTTTTTCCGTATTTTTTTACTGTTAAACGAATTTCATTATTTTGACCGTTTTCAAGACATCATCTACTTTTGTCAAACCTGCATAATTTTATAAAACTTGAACAGAAACTTCTTCATGATTCAGAGACAACATCAGAAGAAAAATTTTGAAATATAATTTTGCATTTTTCCATATTTACTGATAGATGGATATTATTTTTTTGCAGTTAACTTTACAAACTGTCTGAGGTAAAAGGTTTTTACACATCAATAACTTTGCCATATCTTCAGAGATTTAAGGTTACAGTCTTGTAATTGACTGCCCATATGCTTACATGCAAAACAGCGGACCTTTGAAAAATTTTAAAAATAAAATGGTACATGGATAATTTTTTTCATGTGCATATCATGTATGTAGTAATGTGAAATTGTAATTTAATGGAAAAAAAGTGCCCCATGCCACGAAGAATAAAAAGTTATGAAACCCTGAAGTCAAAACTACTTTTTTTTTACTTTCTATTTGCTGTTTTTACTAGTCCGCACCACTTCCAGTAAACATGATATCCTTCAACTTTCCTGATTTGATATCCCAATAAAGATGCATTTGTTTTAAAATCTAAATAGATGTTTCAATTCAGCATAAAATTTTAATCAAACAGAAAAAAATTAGTCCAGAAACAAATTCAGAAAAAAATGGACTATTTAATTTCACTCCATGATTTGAATGCACCGGAAACTGGAGTTGTTATACAAAACTGTTACCTCAAGACACTTGGAGAGGTGCTTTTCCATGACATAGCATCTGGGTAAAAGTATTGAATAATGTGATCATTAATCGTGTTTTACTGATAAACATTATCAATGGACTTACACATTTTGGAGCTAATTATTCAATACTGTTGAGGGTAAAAGTTTCGAAAAAATCACTTACCTTTTTTCAAACCATCATGTAATTTCAGAAAAAAATTACAGAAGCTTCTTCATAGCGATCTAGAATAAAGTTTAATCCCCATCCCCATTTTCCATATTTTTCTAATAAATGGGCTTATAAATACCCTGTCACGTCCGGACTGTATTTTTGTTACTTAGTAGATGTTTTCTGCTTTGTATCGATTTGATGAGTTGAGCCTTTTCAATTGATTTTTATAGTTTATTCTTATGTTGTACTGTTACACCTTTGTTCCAGGTTAGGGGGAGGGTTTGTCGCCAGCAAACTAGTTTAACCCCGACACATTCTGTACGTGTCTGTCCCAAGTCAGGAGCCTGTAATTCAGTGGCTGTCGTTTGTTGCTGCACATCATATTGTTTTTCGTTCATTTTTTTGTACATAAATCATGCCGTTAGTTTTCGCGTTTGAATTGTTTTAAATTTGTTATTTCGGGGCCTTTTATAGCTGGCTTATGTGGTATGTGTTTTGCTCATTGTTGAAGGCCGTACGATGACCTATAGTTGTTAACTGCTATGTCATTTTGTCTCTGGTAGAGAGTTGTCTCATTGGCAATCATAACAAATCTTCTTATTATTATGATTAGTTCCTTTTTTTGCAGTCAACGTGGTACAGTTTGTCATTTTATATTTATATCCTTGAATACTTTTGTTAAGCCTTCGTGGAATTTCAAAGCTTGGACAGAGGCTTCTCCATAAGTTATAACACCACTTTTTTTTCTTGTTCGCTTTTCTGCATTTATCTGATATTTGATCTGAGTTTTGACAGTCAACATTACACTTATAACACCGACAGAAGCAATCGCAGGCGAGACACATAGTTCTGTGGATTCCTTTACGATATGTTGTTTAATCCACTGTTATTGGTTTGTTTTGTTGTATAGCACTGTGTTTAAACAAAACCCTGCGCTTTATAGAATATGAAGAAATTGTCATTTGCTTTTAAATCAGTCATGAATCCATAAATATTTTTAATCATTACGGGTGGGGTTTTATAGTTATATACTAGTAAATAAGTCCGATACTTGTATAGTATGTATCGTGGTGCTCACAGTAACTTCTAAGTACAGCACGATCTGCATAGTTACTGCGAGCAAACCAAGCCTACATTTTGACTTACTTGCCTCTTATTTAGCCATGTAGATAAGATTAGAAATGTTTTAAATTCGGACGAATTTATGAGGGAGAATTTAAAGTAAATAATGACCGGCTTCGCGTCGATACATTCATCAACATTTTGGCACATCGCAATCACTGAACTTTAAATGTTGAATTTACAGACAATTTCTAGCAAATGAAGACCGTTTTATACATTTAGCAAGTCTGACGACATACGAAATAGTCTTAATAAACTAAAGCGTCCTTAAGTACAACATCATTTGCACCTACTGACATCTAATGTTTACTTACCTTGTATGTTTTGTAAACCTGGTGGTGTAAATAATACTAGTAAATCTTAAGGAATCTTGTAAGATGATTTGTTTGGTTAACTGTTGGATTCGATCGTCTTGCGAAGATGAAACGCCATCATATGACTTTTATGGCCGCAAGTATTTAGTTTCCCTCGAATAAAGTTCCTACCGTTCTTAAAGTGTTATTCAATGATTTTGTATCTGTTGGTTAATTTTATTATTATTATACCCCACTCCGAAAGGAGTTTATTACAGTTTACGTCCGTTTTGCACGGAAATAAAATGGCCATTTCACGATGAAGAAAAAATTCAGATATGAAACATACCTTCTTGTTTTTTAATCAATTCCTGATTCCTAATCGCGAATATAAGATTTATTTATACTTGCTACGAAATGGGGTAAAATCTCGGCGAGCCCCGCTTTTCTCTCTGTGTCCAATGCGCTTTCTATATATAATGTACGAATTTTGTACATAAATCAACACCAAGATTTGTATTGATTTTGCCGTAAGGTGTGAGTTATTAGCTCATCGTTGTTTAACCTTCAAATCAAGTGTCATGATTAAAGACTTAGCATAGTAGTAGTAAAGTATTGTTCTCTGTTCCACTGTTGCGTCCAGTGGTAAAACAAATGCTTATTCAGGACGAGAACATGTTAATGTATTATTTGTTTATAATTTGTTATTTTTAAGCTGTTGAAATTTAAGCACAAAGTTCACATCGGTATATCTGTATGAAACTAATATTTGTACTTAATATCAATAAATACGAATTAATTTTTTTTCTACAGTTTACTCCTATTTTGAAATGAACTAGTTTATATGCAATGTTGAAATTAACAATATTTTTAAATAGGATAACGAAGTCCTCAATAACAGTAAGAACATCAATTAAAATCAATTCATTAGAATCCAAACTGATCGTTTACTTTTTTCAACAACATTTTCATTTGATCATTTCCTGTTAATAAATTATTAATTATTAAATACATAGAATCTCCTGGGTAACCACTTGATGTCTCTACTTTACATTTGTATTTAAATTTTATACTATGTATGTTAACTTATTTGTATATGTCTCTATACCATTGAACTTTGGTTTACGAGAATAAAGATATATATATATATGTTCACAGAGACTATCGTGTTAATAGGCATACAATTTCCCGCAAATTTGTATAAAAGAAACAGGAAAATAATACGGACTTCGTCCACTTTCACAAGTAAAACCTGCCTCATATTATGTGGAAATAACAATAATTCAAATTTGAACATTGACATATTTCGTTGTAATAACAAGATTATGAAAACGTTTTAATGGACGTACTGCATTTGCGACATTAAAAAAATCAAAACTTTCGTTAGCGCCAAAACAATTTGACAGTTTTCATTTGCGTCAGGAAATAAATATTCAATTTGCGCAATTGGTTAAAAATGACAAGATATAATATCAAATTCATTTAGATAATTAATCGTTACATGTGTTTATAATAACATAATATAGAATATTTCTTCCATTTTGGAAATAATTTAATTTTGGATGTAACGCGTCATCTGATTGGCTGGTAGTGTTTTGTCTATCAGCTCATAGACATAATTTTGTCATGTGATCGTGACGTCATCAACGTTTTTTCATGATTTACTCCGACTTAAAATGGAATTTATAAGAATTAAATTATAAGGAATGACAAAAATGTGGTGCACACTTTAAAATTTCAGTGTGCACCACATTTTTGATGTTATTTCTTCATAGACAGAAAAAGTATTACAGTCATTTCTTAACTAATTTTAACGTGAGTGTACCCAAATTGCACCTATTTTGACAGTTTTATTCACCTACGTTTTTTTATGATCCAGACAAAAGTTTCCATTCTGTGTTTATTTTGTAGACGTATCCTTATTTGCTATATAGTTACACCAGTTTAAGTTTTAATCCATATTGAATCATAGAAAAATGGGTTTGAACCGACCTCTTCAAATATTTAGAACAATTTGACAATATTCTATGCTTACTATTCATTTTTGTAAGAAATGAATGCTTGTAACCTATTTTATTTGCTCATTTTTAAAAGATGACTTTTTGTGAACGTCGCATGATGACGTTTCCGTAGTTTAACTTTTTCCAGTGAATGCTTCACATGTTGATATATTCTGTGAACGTTTAGTGTATATCTAAATACATTCACCTACATGTATGTTGAAAGACGTGTATAATGTCAAATCATAAAAATACAAATTGTTCAGTCTCAAAGAAAACTTGTAAGATTTCCTCAGCTATGTGCAATTTGGGTAATCGGTGCAATTTGGGTACTGTGACGTTTTATAAATGAACTTCTATATCATAACACAGCTACCCAGTCAGCGGTTCACGGTACATGTATAGTTTATCATTGGAGTTGGTTATTATTATTTTACGAAATTTTCCTTTGATCTTACTTACTGATAATTTCCTTTCTCAGCACAGTAGAGTGATATGAAAAATTATCGCTAGAAACTGAGGGCGCACGTGCCTACAACCGTCATAGGTAAAATAGCGATAAACAGATTATCATTGGTCATCTCAACTCGATTGTTTTTCTCACTTTCGCCGTAACGGCTCCAGCGAGAAAATAAATCTCGTTGAGATGACAAACGATAATCTATAAATATACACCAAACACGTCAGTCAGTTGCAGGTGATATTAGCGCATTTTGATGCAGTAAGATGGATCTTTTGCACACGATACAAACCAAGGAAATTAACTGATAATCTTCGATGGATATTCTTAGCGGCATTAAATCAATAAATTAAATAAAACATAATTTATGTTACCAATTGTGTGATCAATTTTTGGGCGCAAACGAAATGACGATTGGCAAAATGCAAAATTCCGATTTTAATTAATTAACATATATCATTGGACCGATCTAATAGTGTACATGGTCTTAACCAGCTTTTTTTTTAGTTACAATTGCTTTCCTTGCAATGAACAGCTTTTTGGATAAGTTATTTGGCTTGAGCCGGAAAAAATGTTATTTTTATGTTATTCGCTTATAAGACAACGGGGAAAATATTTCGATTTTCAAAGAAACTGTTGATTATTATTCAAAGAGTTTCGTTTTATCGTGTACTAATAAAAACTAAATATAATACCTTGATTGTCTCATGTATGGAAATAATTTAACTTACTAATCAAAGCACAATATTTCAAAAGGATTATCCAAATCAAAATTCCCATTCTGATAATTCATATATAAATGAGCCTTATTCACAGCATTTTCCACCCTCACGACGTTTCACTCAACACTAATTTCAATCTTAAACAAAAGATTGTAAAACAATGGATCATTCATCTATCAATCAAAAATTGATGTATGTTTTTACAATTCTGTCTAATTAATGTTTACACCAATGCAATAATGTGTGATCATTGCCTGAAGGAGAGAACACAAAACTTAAAAGCTGTTAAACTAAAATGTGTACATGGTTTTGTTCATAAATATTTATTACAATTTCGATTACAACAAAAATTTCAATATGACTGAATCACTGAAAAAAAACTTATATGAATTCAATATGTGCAGATATAAATTTAGATATATACCAGAAAAAGTTTAATCTGAAAATTATAGTCAATTTATTTATTTATTTATACATTTTCCAACAATAAAATTTCCATATAAATACTAACAGTGACAAGATATTAGCGTCGCTTTGTTCTGTATTATCTTAATCAGGATGTTGTATAACAAGTTATTACTTTTATGTAGTGATAAAGGATTGTGTACCAAAGGCGAAGGTAAGTATAAATCAAAACTTAACAATTTTAAATGGCAAAGGGAAATTCTTCCTTATTTTTACCAAAAACAAGGTGTATAATGTTCATGACCGATCCGCCCTTCAATCCTTTTGTCATTTCTATGTACTCTGACGTGCTATAGGTTACTATCATCACTTTAGTAGGGTTGCATTTAAGCAACTTCATACCTGTACTTTGATATATACATAGACATGTATTCTTGGTATGCATTCTAACTTTTTAGCTCACCTGTCCTAAAAGGCCATGTGAGCTTTTGCCATACCTTTGCGTCCGTCGTCCGATCATCCATCGTCCAGTGTAAACTTTGTTAAAGAATAGATCTCCTCTGAAACCACTGGACCAATTTCAACCAATCTAGGGCTGAATTATCCTTAGGATATCTAGTATAGAGTTTGTGTTTTTTTTATTCTTGTTCGTCTAGAAACAATGATTACCGCCATGGCTGAAAATAGGACATATTGGTAAAATGCAGTTTTTGGCTAATATATCTCTAACTCTAGCAGTTAAAGCAAGATTGACATGGATGAACATGATAAGCTTGTTAAGAATTACCTGACACGAAATTCGGACAACCCTACACAGGGAATATCATTCACGTGAATTTCACATGAATTTAGATTCACGTGAATGTGACGTGAAATTCAAACGTGAAACTCACATGAACTGATTTAACGTGAAAATCACACGAATCTCATGTGAAACTCACATAAATTTCACGTGAAAATCACATGAATTTTTTTCACATGAAATTCACGCGAATTTTCAAAATAAGGTCATTCAAATAACATCGAAATTATCAAATGTAATGAAAATCATGAAAAAATACTATTTTTTTGTTAAGGTAAGTTCACGTGTGAAATTGAAGTGAAAAAATTCACGTGAGATTGATGTGAATCTCAATTCACGTGAAATTCATGTGAAAATTTTCACGTGAGTATCATGTTTAAGCTCGTTTGAGGTGAATTTTACGTGAGCAAAACTTGCCTGCGTATTTGGAATTATTGCCCATGAAAAAATAAATTTTACGAAACTTCTCTGTTTATGATTATTATCTTGAAAACTATTATAGATCCAGCAAAAATGTTCAGCAAATTAAGATCTGCAAATAAGTTAAACTGAACGTAATTGTAAATTGATCCATTATAGGAGTTATTGCCTAAATTTAATTTTCAAGTTTTTTATAGTATTGCCCTTGAAAGATTATTTTTGCATTTTTTTATAGTTTTTTTACAGAAACTATGATAGATAGATATAAACCTTAAATGGCAAAGATTTTAGTTAAGTAAGACCTACATATAAGTCAACTTGACTAAAATTGTCAATCGACCTCTTTTAGGAGTTATTGCCATTGAGAGACGATTTTTACTTATTTTTTTTGTCTTTTTGCAGAAACTATGATAGATTGAGAGAAACTTTAAATGGCAAAAATGTTCATCAAAGTAATATTTACACAAAAAAAAACAGTAACAAGTGAGTGGAAACTGTAACGAGCAAAAAATAATCATCTACACAAGATCTACATATATGCCACTTACAAATACAGTGCAGGCATGATTCTACTTCGTCAAAATTATCTCCCCATTACGCTACCTAATCAAAATGGAAGCCATTGTAGAGGGGTGGACAGGAGGATACCCTTCTCCCACCTCCCACTTTTAGAATCTTTTTTTTCCCTCCCACCCCCCTTCTCCCACCTCCCCCTCCCACCTCCCTCAATAGCTGTCCACCCCCTCATTGTAGTGATGACGCGCCGTTCAATTTATCCACGTAGCATCATTACGATCCTTGTATGCCAGTTGTATTTTCAAAGACAAATGTACCTACTAACTATTGAGCATAATTTAATGTACTTTTATGCATTTGGTCAACTTAAAACTATTGTCTGATCGGTTGTCAGGGTGAATTTTCGAAAGTTCAAAAATATTTAAAAAATTCAATATTTCATGGAAGGACAGACTAAATATTTTCAGAGGTTGAAGACTAATTGCCCTAGATAACACACACAAACAATGAAGTTTTTTTTGAAGTTATGCATTTTTAAGATCCACTTGTAAAGTCTGTCGTCATGTACGTTTAGTAAAAATGTGTTAATCGAACACACCTACTGTGTTGTTATGACTCATTAGAAAGGTATTTCACTTGACCTATATATTTAATTTTTTTAGTACTGTAAATCTTTAATGTTGCAATTTATTATCTTTCCTTGGATTTTTTTCGGCGGAATTTATGTCTATGCACAAAAAAGATCCACATGTATTTGCACCTCCCACAATCGACTGTTTTGTGAAAATTTGTCTATAATTTAAAACTTTACAAATATCTCGAAGACTAATTAAAGTAAAAACACACATATAAAATGCATAAAATTCTAAATTATGCACATTCATTAAAATTTTAAAGCCCATAGAAACAGATACAATTCAAATTTACCAACATGGCCCTTTTTACCATCGCTAATAAAGCGTTCCATTTCAGTTGTTTATTAATTTCAACTGGGTTTCCACCAAAGTATGATATACTTAACTTCTTTAGTTTTCATAAAGTAATCCGAGGGATACCAGTACGTTTTATAAAAGACTCCTCTTTTCTCTGTATCATTTATTTAGTTGTCATGTAAATTTAAACAGTTTACCGATTTGTTTTATGTGTTTCAATCATCTTATGCAATTATTATCTCGACTTAGAAAAGCAGTATGGAAATGATGTCATCATCTACTTGAAAAAGGTTTGCCGATTTGTAATCTACTCGAGGTAATCCACGTTAAACACCACACGAAAAACGTAAAGAACTGTAGACCTAAATAGTCAGTGGCCATCCCATTTAGTTATTTTTAAACTATCCAGATATTTTTAACTTTGTAAGTGTGAACTCAAGTATTACCTATTTAAGAACGACAACTCCATTTTAACTTCCTGAATCGTTTTCCGAAAAGTAAAGATATTATTTCACTTCCTTATGGAAAATTAATTCGTTTGTAAGAATTGTAAGAATGAAAACTAAAAACTTCATTGTTTTCCATGTGATTAAAGGTAAGCCTAATGATTTGTTGCCATTTACCATTAGATCCAAAAAGAAGTCTGTGCTCGACCACCGTACTTGTGAATGGATATGTCCTGATACACAAGGAAATTGGAACTGAATGAAGCGAACCTTTAAACTACCATTTATGGTATAATTTTATTTTCAGATCGTTTTTGAGTTCCTTAAATAAATCTATATTGGTATTTTTTGTTCATTTGGTTACTTGCTGTGATTTTTTGTAATATGTTGTGTACATGTCGGTTTCACATGTATTTTTGTTCCTTACCGGGTACAGCATTTGTCGATCAACAACCTGACTTTGGGATGGATATATTGTTTTTATCGTATTTATTTTGTTTATTTGTGGTCGTCTCTAACATTATTAAACATATATTATTTCCCATTCGGAGCCCTTATGACCAATATGTATATAGAACTGTCTAAAATTACAGCAATATGATAATATACTTTAACCAATATTCAATGTTTCTGGACATTTGATTTGTTTTGCTATGCGTGTGTTGGGTAGGGTTTAGTAAGTAAGTAAGAAAAACAAACTTTATTGTAAGGTAGTTGTGATTTGGGGCAAACAACAGGAAACAATCGGGATTCTTTATTTTTCAATATATGAAAAAGATACCTTGCGATAACAATTGATGAACGTGATTCAGTTCAATAACAATATACTAGTAATCTTTTAAATTTTAAGTTTACAATGATGTTCAAGGGAACTGTTAACCTCTTTAAGCACCGCATTAATAAAATTATAATATATCTGTAAGAGTCAAATCTATGTCCGTCCTCAAATCTGTGTTCATTTATCAATTCCATGCCCTATCCAAGTTCTGCACTGTCCTGTATAATGCGTCACAAAACGTCCAAAATACACATGTGTATATATGATTTAACTTGATCATATTTTTACCAACAAAGTAATGGTAAGATTAAAGCGTTTGCTTAGTCAGTAATGGTTAAAGGTTTGCTTAGTCAGTAATGGTTAAAGGTTTGCTTAGTCAGAAATGGTTAAAGGTTTGCTTAGTCAGTAATGGTTAAAGGTTTGCTTACTTATATGAAAAAAAAAAGATACCTATTTGGGTATAGTAAGTAAGTTAAACTTTATTTGGATTCGGCATATTTGACAAACATGCTCGTTACAGTTTCCACTCACTTGTTCTGGATTGGGTGCCAATAGATGAGGCCATAAAAAAGAAAATATTTGTTTGCCCTAACCCTTCCTACCCAGAAAGTATCTGCCTACTCAAAATCTTTTATTGTCCTGATGTAAAAAAGTGTTTTTTTAATCAGATAGGCATGAAGACTAAAAAACATCTGACACTTTAATTTCTCTTTGCCAAAAAAAAAAAGAAAATGCCTACCTACCAACCCAC